GAATCTAATAAATGTTTTAAAAACTTTAACCACAGAGTGAATGTAATGTTAACTGGAAGAAAAACTATGTCCATTTATAAGTAATATACTGAAAAACAGGAAATAAATTTATACAAAATTTCCTTCTAGATACTAGCTTTTGATCATAAACAAGCTTCTGTCCAAGTTTCGTACAAATCCAGGATAGTTTAAGAAAGTTATTAAAATTTTTAAAACTTTAACCACAGAGTGAATATTTGTGGACGCCGCCGACGCCGACGGAATGTAGGATCACTTTGTCTCCGCAGTCTCGACAAAAATCATATACCCGATTTGGCTGATAATTTCAGGGCAAGTAGAACTTGAACTAATGAATAATTTAACATTTTGTCTGATTTGCTCTAAATGGGACCCAATCAGAAAAGGTCATGTTTCAATATTTTAGCTATATTGAAATTTTTGGTGAAATGATAGCATATTTTTTGTTCAAATCATAGCAAAACAAAGAGTTTATCAAAATTGTTGAATATTTAACAAAAACTAAGTCAGAAAGACAGACAGACAGACAGAGTATTATTACAATCAGTGGGGTCCTAATAAATTATTTTATTGACTAAAAGACCACCTAAGCAATCATAAAAGTATGATCACTTTTATTTACTTAAATAACAAAAAAACATGACCTAATGGCTTATTCAGATTAATAACCTTTATGCTTAAATGAAGGTCCAGAATTCATGACTTAGAAACTGATGAGAATTAAATTATATAATTCATTAATATAAACATTTTTATTTCAGATTGACACCAAAATAGAATTAAGTACAAATCAAATACTTAATACTGTACAAATAAACCATGCTGGACTGACTGCTAAAATAGAAGTATGTTTAATTCACACATTTTACACATAAATAAAGAACACTTTGCTTTAAAAAATTAGTACAACGACATAAAGGGAGGGGGCATTCAAATATCATTAATTGAAAAAAGACAAACAATACCAACATAAAAAAGGAAAAACTTGAGCCATTTTTTATATATATTTGCATTTTTTAACAAAGCTATTCACTTTAAATTTTGTTTCGCTTGTATGTAATTCAATTGTATAATACAAATGAAACAATTTAATGTTAACGGGTGTATGATAACAAAGCAGATTTCAGTAATCTTGGCAAATTTGTTAAAAATAAATTACATAAACATGATAAATTTTCTATACCACCAGTGATCATGAATGAGCTATTTAATGAGTTAACAAAACTTGATATAAACAAAGCATCTGGTATGGATAATATAGGACCAAAAATCCTAAGATTAGGCGCCCCTGTTATTGCATCACCTCTCACATACATATTTAACCGAATGATAGATACTGGTATATATCCTTCTTTACTGAAGAATGCTAAGGTAACACCAGTTTTCAAGGATGGTGACAAGCTTTTAACAACAAATTACAGACCTATATCTGTTCTTCCAACTTTACCAAAATTAATAGAAAGGCATGTTTCTAATAACATGTACAAATACTTATCTAAACTTAACCTTTTACACCCTACACAATCTGGTTTCAGGCCGCAGCATTCTTGTCAAACTGCACTTATTAATATCATTGATAAATGGTTGCAAGAAATGAATGATGGTATTTTAAACCTAGCAATTTTATTAGATTTTAAAAAAGCTTTTGATTTGGTAGATCATGACATTCTTTGCTTAAAGCTTGAAATTTATGGATTTAGTGAGGCTACTATTAGTTTTTTCAAGTCATACCTGAATAACAGAAAACAGCAGGTAAACATTTGTAATGTTTACTCTGAACAACAACATGTAAAATTTGGTGTCCCCCAAGGTTCTATACTTGGTCCTCTATTGTTTGTGCTATTTATAAACGACCTTCCCTTATGCATTGAAAATTGTGAAACAGACCTATATGCTGATGACACCACTCTTCATAAATCAGGAAAAAACATAGAAAATATACATGATGATGTTCAAGAAGATTTATACAGGGTTGAAGAGTGGTGCAAAATGAATAACGTGTTCATTAATGCAAATAAAACAAAATGTTTGGTTACTGGAACAAAGCAGAAACTATCAATTCAGACTTATCAACCAAACTTAATAATAGATTCAAAAGTATTACAAAATTCTTCATGTGAAAAATTATTAGGTGTTAAAATTGACAGCACACTTAACTGGAGAAATCAAATTGACCAAGTTTGTGCTAATATATCATCCAGAATATACCTTCTTTCTAAAATAAAGAAATTTTTAGATATAAATGCAAGGAAAACATATTACAATGGATATATTCTGCCCCTGATTGACTACTGCTGTATTATTTGGGGTGAATGTAAAAATGAAGGGATAGCAAGAATTTTAAAACTCCAAAAAAGGGCAGCAAGATTAATTCTAGATGCAGATCCTTTATCCCCCTCAGCCCCCTTATTTAAAAAACTTGGGTGGATGACAGTTGACAATAGAATAAAATACCACAAATATTTACTTCTATATAAATGTATGCGTATGGAAGCACCAATGTACCTAGTTCAAAAGTTTAAACTGAAATCAGATAATAATCCTTACTCCCTGAGAGGCGTCACTCAAGGTAATCTGATAGTTCCTAAGCCAAAAGCTGAGCTATATAAGAAATCTTTTGTTTATTCTGGATCAGTGTTATGGAATGGACTACCACACAAAATGCGTAAAGCTCAAAAAACTTATACTTTTAAACAAAGTATCAAGAAGTAATTAACACAGTCCTGATAAGATTATATTTTCTACAATGTATTTGTATATTCTTTTATTTTTATTTGTATTTGATTTTTTGACTACATGTACATCTTGAACAGCCTTATATCTTATCATGTTAGTAATATTACATTGAACTAATTGACTGTAAATTAACTATGTGTATTAAAATATCTGTTTTTGATTGTATTGTAATTTGTATGTGAGGGCCTCAGGGTAGATTAGTTTATTGTAACTAACTGAGTTTACCCTCTTTAAATAAAGAATTTATTATTATTATTATTATTATTATGAAATTTCTAAAATTTTGAAAAACCTAAATTTTTATTGGTGCCAAAACAAAGGTTTCTTTTGCTCTGAAAGATGGCTATCAGCACAAAACAAATTAATAAATTGCATGGTGTATTAAATTTGTGTGGTCAAATAGCTTCACATGTCACTTAAATTGGTTGTTTTTACAACTATTCTACAACAATATAGTGTTGAGAAGGGTACTTCAGAATTGTAACGGACTTTTGTATTGAACACACCGTTACATTTTAACTCTACTTTTGAACACTGGAAAGCAGAAACTTAAAAAAATAAAGAAAAATCGACTAGAAGGGGACTATACAATAAACTGATTCAAGACCTACTTGATGTTTTTGATACAAAATGAATTAAACTTACACTTTGAAACCCACAGGAGGGGGCAGTTAGAAAGTTTAATTGCTCTTGTAATGTAATTTTACAGTATCCATAATTGTAAATAGACATAATATTCTATTATGCTCAATATGTATTTTCTTCTAAATTTTAAAATACAAATAAAATATCCCTGCTTATTTATTTGTATTCTCACTTTCTTCAAGGAATTCATGGAGAAGGTAGTATGCCAGAACTGTAGAGAAAATATGGATAAAAAAGGTATGTATCTCACATTTATGATCATTTGCATGTAAACAAGCTATTTGTTTTACAATGAACAATTAATTACATATCTCATATATTTTGAGTAAAACATGTATATAATAAAAAATAATTTTCTTTTTTAAATTTAAACAGAACCGTCTATTAAGTTTAGTGTTAAAACCAGATGATTTGTATTTCAGGAATAAAAGATCAACCAATACATCCCTACAAACTAGGACAGTCTATCTTTACACTACATCATCAGATAGACCTGACATCAGTAGTTGGTGATGACTGGGTAGGAGTAGTAACAGATATGGTGATGATTGATGATGGTAGACTGGTGATATGTTTACTTGGGCAGTGCAGACTACTGATCTGTAATACAGATGGATCACAGGTAGACAGTATAGATGTACAGGGTAAACCATGGTGTGTTACAGCAGTCAACAACTCTACAGTAGCTGTTGTACTGTGGGGTAGTAACTGTATACAGATGTATGACATAAACAATAAACTCAAACTTAAATCAATATCACTACCTAGAATGTGGTGGTACGGGAGTGTCATTACAACTATAAACAACAAGTTAGTTGTATGTGGTTACAACAGACTACTACTGATTATAGATCATCAGACAGGAAAGGTGGTACAGACAATACAGACTGACTGTGATCCTGACAGTTTACATGGTTCTGGTGACAGAATATTCTACTGTGATACCTACTACAACAACAACAACAAGCTGTATTGGTACAGTCATACTGATGACAGACATCACACCCAAACATTACCATCACCCCCCAGGAGGATGACTACACTACAAGATGACAGTCTGTATGTGGTGTGTAAGGATGGATCAGTACAACATGTGTCATCTGATGGTAAACAGTATATAACTGTTACAACAAAGGAACTAAAAAAACTGAAATGTATTTTTATGTCATATAATTCAAAGCAAAGAAAACTAGTCACAAGTGGAGATCAGAGGCTAATATTCAAAGTGTTCAATGAGAAATAATAGTCTTATGTTAACATATGTATGTGCTATAACAGTATACGAACTAAAAGAAGGAATAAGTGATGGAAGATGTGGATGGATGATAGAAAAAAATAAAAGTTATCTTCATAAAACACAGTATTAAGGTTATAGGGGAAAATTGATATATATTCTATGAGATTGTCAAAACGAGATGATTAAAAGTATGAATACTTCTCTTTACAAAGAATTTATATTTTGTTAAAGGAAACTGAAAAACTACTGACTGGAACTGAATAGGTTAACAAAACCATTATGTTCTAAAGTAAAAGATAATGTGAAAGGTTCATAAAAGAAAGTTATTACTTTTTTCTTAAAAACATGAACATTTATACATTACCATAGCATTGTTTTATCTTCAGCTCCACATCTACTAAACAACTGTCTGATCAATTCACTTGTGTTCATCCTGTAAATATATGCCATGGTTAGTTGATAAAATTTACAAGGGATGATTGCATTGTGCTGTATCATTTTGCTTAAGATATTTTTATAGCTGAGCAATTTTTTTTTTTAAAAACCTGCAGCCAACATATCTATCTTTCCAAATATTGATTAAATTAGTAAGGTGATTCTATAGACAGATATTTTCAACAACAATTTCATATGCTTTTGATCTTTAAATTACAATTTAATATTCAATTTCTATCTATGGTGTTAATTCATTTCATCCTGAATATGCATGAAATATTTGACATTGAACGACTGGCAAAAACACAAATCAGTCAATCTTGAAGTAGTGTAGCTATCAAGTGGTGTTGAACAAAGGTCAATCAATCAGTATATATTTATTAACAGACTCTTGTCTACCGTGTGTTATATATGTTTTGCTATTTTTGTAGAAGTGTATTACTAATGTGTCCCACTTGCATTTCCATCACAAACTTTTTAAAAAGAGTGATCAGTTAATATGTGGCTAAATTTAATTTTATAAAATTTGTAAAAAAAAAATCTTATACAATTCAAAGCTGCAAGTTGAAATTGTTAAATGATATCATATATATGTAACACTCAGAAACGTGTCCATCCATCCCAAAAAATGAGGTCCATGATAATGGACATATGACAGACAGAAAGTTTGTAACATTAGGTATCTGCACATACACAAGCTTAAGGTATGAAGCATTTTGGGCCTTTCGCCATCTCTGTAATTTTGCAAGTCTCCATTTTGGATTATCTTGTTTTAACTCAGTATCTTTTTTGATCTTCATAAATTGCACCAAAAATACATTGGTATTGACAACCTTGAATATCTTTTTCTTTTCTTTGGACTCCTGTGGAAACCGTATTCATGGATTGAATTTGCTATTGACATTACTGACGTCACTGAAAAATATCAGTGCCAAAAAGTTTGAGATGTTCTGGCTTCTTAATTGAATGTGTTTCATTCAACAACAATTAGACAAAATAAAGATTGGACATGTCTGAGCGAAATATTATAATGATATGTTTGAGCCAGATATGATTTAGTTTGAGCAAAATGGATTGGGGGATTAGACACATTAGGGGGGATGGATTCGTTTGAGAGTGTTACATATATTTGTGTTATTTTTTTCCAAAACAAAACAAAATCAGCTTTATAATTGAAAATGGTTTTTGTAAATGATAACAGTCTGTTTCATACTGTCAGTGAGGAATATTTTTTACCTTAATGAAGCTACAGAAATTATAAAGAAAACCCACAGAGATTGCAGGACACAAAGTAATTGTTTGATACTAATATTTTTTGTTTTAAATTATTTTTATATAATGTAAATTCAGAAATTATTGCAAGGTTTTTATTATTGCAAAAAATACAACTAGTTGAGTATCGCAATAACTAGAACTCGCATTCTGATATCTGATACATAAATCAATATGCAGATTTTCCTGAAATCGCAACAATTAGACTCGCATTTATGTCCATTTTTCAAAAATCACAATAATAAATGCACACAATAATTTCTGATTTTCAGTAAATAATTGTTTTATATTTACAATCTTCTCAATACCTTGTATATGTGTTTGGATAACTGAGAATGGCTGTTACTAAGGTAACTGCTAGAACCTACAATAAAAATAACAAACAATAATAGTACTTATCTGTATTAAAGTAATCCTTTCTGAAATTTGTATATATATATATAATATTTTTATTGTTAGAATAAATTTGAGACGAAGAATATATAATACTATGGTGCTAGCCCTGTACAACTGCAGGTTATACGATGGAGAACGTCTGTCATAAAGTTGTCACATATTTAGAGAGGAAGAGAGACATTCAATGTGTCATGAAATATTTAAGTATTTGGTCAATTAAAGGACATGGAGCATAAGGGCTTTATTTGGTCTAATTTGTCAATGAAAGGATTCTAAATTTAAGATTTCCACTTAGGAAAATTCAAACAAGAATATGTGTACTAAGTTTTAAGTTGATGTGACCACAACTTCATTGTAAACTAAAGTGTCGAAAAACTTCAACTTGAAAATGCATTGGATTCACAGTGTCACATTTTAAGGTTTTTTGGAATACAATTTAAAAAGTTCACATTATAAGGTAAATACATGTATGTATAATTTTCAAGTTGATGTGACTATGACTTCATGATAAAACATACCAACAATCTGTCAATACTTGTATTATGGCATTGCACAAGGTCATGTTTTTCTCTGACAGTTAATGACCTCTTTTCATTACATCTATTGTATCTTGGATTTGTACTGATTGATACTTTAGTCTAGATACATGATTTTTTTATACGACCGCAAAAAAATTTTGTGGTCGTATATTGGTATGACGTTGGCGTCGTCGTCGTTGGGCGTCGTCGTCGTTGGGCGTCGTCGGGCGTCGTCCGAAGACACATTGGTTTTCGCACTCTAACTTTAGTTTAAGTGAATGGATCTCTATGAAATTTTACCACAAGGTTCAATACCACAAAAGGAAGGTTGGGATTGATTTTTAGGGGTTATGGTACCAACAGTAAAGGAATTAGGGGCCAAAAAGGGGCCAAAAATAAGCATTTTTGTAACTTCCAGACATAACTTGTGTGTTAGTGTATGGATCTATCTGACATTGTACCACAAGGTTCAATATCACAAAAGGAATGCTGGGATTGATTTTGGGGGTAATGGCCTCAAAATTTTAGGAATTAGGGGCCAAAAAAGAGGCAAAAAACAAGCATTTTTATAGTTTCATGACAATAACTTGTGTGTAAGTGTATGGATCTTTCTGAAATTGTACTACAAGGTTCCATATCACAAAGGGAAAGCTGGAATTGAGTTTGGGGGTAATTGCCGAAACGTTTAGGAATTGGGGGCCAAAAAGGGGCCAAAAATAAGCATTTTTCTAGTTTCCAGACAATAACTTGTGTTCAAGTGTATGGATTTCTCTGAAATTGTACTGCAAGGTACCATACAACAAAGGGAAGGCTGGGATTGATGATGGGGGTAATTGCCTCAATATTTTAGGAATTAGGGGCCAAAAAGGGGCAAAAAACAACAAGCATTTTTCTAGTTTCAGGACAATAACTTGTGTGTAAGTGTATGGATCTTTCTGAAATTGTACTACAAGGTTCCATATCACAAAGGGAAAGCTGGATTTGAGTTTGGGGGTAATTGCCCTAAACGTTTAGGAATTTGGGGCCAAAAAGGGGCCAAAAAACACATTTTTCTAGTTTCCAGACAATAACTTGTGTTCAAGTGTATGGATCTCTCTGAAATTGTACTGCAAGGTACCATACCACAAAGGGAAGGCTGGGATTGAGTTTAGGGGTGATGAATCATAAGGGGGTTCAAAAAATTTGGGGGGGGGGGGATTTTTTTTTTTTTTCCTTTTTTTTCTTTTTTTCCTTTTTTTTTCTTTTAAAATTTTCCATTTTAAGTTGGTTATTTCTGATTTATATTTAAAAGCAAATAATAATGATATGGTAGGAGATACACACCAAACAGGATGTGTAAATTATTATATAATAAGTATTGTGCAATAGCAAGAAATTTTCAATTGCACAGTATTGCGCAATAGCAAGAAATCTTCAATTGCACAGTATTGCGCAATAGCAAGAAATATCCAATAGCAGAATATTGCGCAATAGCAAGAAATTGTCAATTGTACAGTATTGCGCAATAGCAAGAAATATTTAATTGCACAGTATTGTGCAAAAGAAGATACTTCGTATAAATTGCTTATTTCTTGACCAATTTCAATGGGGTTTTATTCTTGAATTCTTGGGGTTCTTTAATATGCTGAATCTAACCGTGTATTTAGTTTTTGGATTTTGGACCCCGTTTTTAAATTGGTCCACATTGAGGTCCAAAGGGTCCAAAATTAAACTTTGTTTGATTTCATCAAAAATTGAATTATTGGGGTTATTTGATATGACGAATCTAACCGTGTATTTAGATTCTTAATTTTTGGTTCCGTTTTCAAATTGGTCTACATTAAGGTCCAAAGGGTCCAAAATTAAACTTAGTTTGATTTTAACAAAAATTGAATTCTTAGGGTTGTTTGATATTCTGAATCTAAACATGTATTTAGATTTTTGATTATGGGCCCAGTTTTCAAGTTGGTCCAAATCGGGGTCCAAAATTAAACTTTGTTTGATTTCAACAAAAATTGAATATATGGGGTTCTTTGATATGCTGAATCTAACCATGTATTTAGATTTTTGATTTTTGGGCCCCGTTATCAACTTTGTCCACATTGAGGTCAAAAGGGTCCAAAATTAAACTTTGTTTGATTTCACCAAAAATTGAATTCTTGGGGTTCTTTGATATGCTGAATCTAACCATGTATTTAGATTTTGGATATTGGACCATAATAGGTGAATGTCCAATTTAAAATTTTTAAGTTCTTAGACCACATTCATTCTGTGTCAGAAACCTATGCTGTGTCAAATATTTAATCACAATCCAAATGCAAAGCTGTATCAAGCTTGAATGTTGTGTCCATACTTGCCCCAACTGTTCAGGGTTCGACCTCTGCGGTTGTATCAAGCTGCGCCCTGCGGAGCATTTTATTATAAGTTGTTATTAGCTTTGAACTACCTGACAGTAACTGCTAGGAGGGTTAGGTGCCCTGCTAACATGTTTAACCGTGCCACATTATTTAAGTGCCTGTCCCAAGTCAGGAGCCTGTAATTCAGTGGCTGTCGTTTTTTGCTTAATATCATATTTGTATTTCGTTCAATGATTTTTACATAAATCAGGCTGTTAGTTTTCTCTATTTGAATTGTTTTACATTTGTCATTTCAGGGCATCAATAGCTATGTGGTCAGGGTTTTGCTCATTTTTATAGGCCGTACGGTGACCTATAGTTGTCAATTTCTATGTCATTTGGTCTCTGGTGGAGAGTTAGTCTCATTGGCAATTATACCACATTTTCTTATCTTTATATAAAGACACACATCAATGAACAACACATGGTCTAGATAGCCCGACTTGATACCAACCCACAATGAAAGGTGATATACTTTTTCACAATATTCAGGGCATACCAGAAATAAGAAATCAGTTAATTTTGAACTTGACCTGTGTTCAGTAATTCCTATATCCATAGATTTCATATTTATCATTACAAATTTTTGTCGAAAGTAAAATCTGTCTGACGAATCGTAATTGGCATTCAATAGTCCATATAAACATTTCCAAATTGCATTTGATTTGATAGAGGAAAACTTAATTGTGAAATTTTTTACCATTTTTCTCTTTTAAAACACTGGAAGACAAAGTGAAATTAGTCAATTCAAACTGGATCTGTTATTATTGGTTCCTATGGTATAACTGCCGGAGTGGTTTTGTGGTAGGGTGTACTCCTCATGTGCGGGAGGTTGTGAGTTAAAACTTCAACCTGGTCAAACCAAAGACTTTAAAATTGGTATTTTCTGCTTCTCCCCTAAGCACAAAGCATTAAGGACTAAGAGCAAAGGATTGTCAACTCAAGAGTCAGAATTATGGTGTCCAGGTAGAGTGACATGTCTTCATACAGCCTGCTGTTACTTTGTGAACTAGCAAGTTAAAAATCATGCTCAGCATGCCGATGTAGTACAAAGCAAGGTTAATATTCATATATATTGCATTAACATGTTCTCGTCCTAAATATGCATTTAAATTGCCCCTTGATGTTAAACAGCCACCCATCCATCCTATGGTATAGTTTATGTTACAAGTAGAAGATCAAGGATTTATTTTCCTATCACCTGTTGGTGGGGACATAATTCAAAAATAGTAATTTTAGGATCCATGACTTTACAATAAACGTATTTTTGATGTCATGGATAATCATTTTCTATGCAATTTCAGGAAAAATGTAAAAAATTTCTATATACCAACCTCAACTATTGGGTATTGTCCTAACTTTGAATTCTTCCTATATCTACACCAGGCAATATTCATTTTATTAAAAAAACTTCCATATAAACCCTGAAAGAAAGCATATATGATTATGTTATTAATTTGGTTGCGATGATACAGCTCACAATTATAACAGAAATCAAAATAGGATAATCTGTTAAAAATTAAGTATAAAGAGTTAAAGACTAATCTAAGATCTTGTTCTAACATCGGACAGCCTTTGACTATGATTCATTTATACCAACAGCTGTTGGAGCACAGTTACATAGAAAAATAGATCCTTGGGTTTGCCAGTTTGCACTTTAAACAAGTTGTCAAATGAACGCCTTATTTCTTTCCATGCATATTCTTAGATGCATGATTTTTTTATTAGTTGTTATTTGCTTTTACTAGCTGTTAGTAACTGCGAGTACTCTTTTTTATATATAGAAATATTGGAGTAACTTAATGCATATATGAACCAAGTGACCTGATATAAATATTCACAAGATTTGCCTCTTCATCTAATCTGTTGTCTGCAAACATTGGTAAAATTGTCATTTAAGGACAATTAAACTCCTACAAGAGGTCATCTGAAAGTTTTGATGTTAAAAGACAGAAAGTAGATCTAATTATTCTGAACATATGTGCCCCACTCCAATTTTTTCTATCTATAGTGGTTTTCAAGATATAGACAAAACTTTTAATTTCTGTCATAGTTCCTGTACATACTAATTTTTAATGCCCTTGGATTATAAATGAAGTACTCACCCCTATTGCCCCTAGGAATATAAACGGTATAAGTTCCTGAATGTACTCACCCCTAATGCCCCTAGGAATATAAACGGTATAAGTCCCTGAATGTACTTAACCTAATGCCCCTTGAATTATTAACGATATACTCACCCCTAATGCCCCTAGGAATATAAATGGTATAAGTTCCTGTAAGTACCAAGGTTCATTATACTCAACATAAAACATCACAAGATGATCATTGCCAAATGGATTAATAGATCTTAGTACAAATGCAGCTGCTAATGCACAGAAAAATGATCTCCACAGGGTCTTCAATGGAAAATAGTAACTAACCTACAAAAAGTACAAAAACAAATTAGATTCATAACTTAAAATATATAAAAAAGGAATAGAAAAAAATATTACAATAAAATGCTTCGCTGGGGCGCAGCTTGATACGACCGCAGAGGTCGTACCCTGAACAGTTGGGGCAAGTATGGACACAACATTCAAGCTTGATACAGTTCTGAATTTGGATTGTTATTAAATATTTGACACAGCATAGGTTTCTGACACAGAAAGAATGTGGTCTAAGAACTTGAATTTTTTTAATTTACCTATTATGGTCCAATGTCCAAAATCAAAATACATGGTTAGATTCAGCATATCAAAGAACCCCATATATTCAATTTTTGTTAAAATCAAACAAAGTTTAATTTTGGACCCCAACTTGGACAAACTTGAAAACTGGGCCCATAATCAAAAATCTAAACACATGTTTAGATTCAGCATATCAAAGAACCCCAAGAATTCAATTTTTGCTAAAATCAAACTAAGTTTAATTTTGGACCCTTTGGACCTTAATGTAGACCAATTTAAAAAACGGTACTTAAAATTAAAAATCTAAATACACGGTTAGATTTGGAATATCAAAGAACCCCAATAATTCAATTTTTGATGAAATCAAACAAAGTTTAATTTTGGACCCTTTTGACCTCAATATGAACCAATTTGATAGCGGGGCCCACAAATAAAAAATCTAAATTCATGGTTAGATTCAGCATATCAAAGAACCCCATATATTCAATTTTTGTTGAAATCAAACAAAGTTTAATTTTGGACCCCAACTTGGACCAACTTGAAAACTGGGCCCATAATCAAAAATCTAAACACATGTTTAGATTCAGCATATCAAAGAACCCCAAGAATTCAATTTTTGTTAAAATCAAACTAAGTTTAATTTTGGACCCTTTGGACCTCAATGAAGACCAATTTAAAAAACGGGACCCAAATTAAAAATCTAAAAACACGGTTAGATTTGGCATATCAAAGAACCCCAATAATTCAATTTTCGATGAAATCAAACAAAGTTTAATTTTGGACCCTTTTGACCTCAATATGAACCAATTTGATAGGGGGGCCTACAAATAAAAAATCTAAATACATGGTTAGATTCAGCATATCAAAGAACCTCATATATTCAATTTTTGTTGAAATCAAACAAAGTTTAATTTTGGACCCCAATTTGGACCAACTTGAAAACTGGGCCCATAATCAAAAATCTAAATACATGTTAAGATTCAGCATATCAAAGAACCACATATATTCAATTTTTGTTGAAATCAAACAAAGTTTAAATACTGGACCCTATCTTGGACCAACTTGAAAACTGGGCCCATAATCAAAAATCTAAACACATGTTTAGATTCAGCAAATCAAAGAACCCCAAGAATTCAATTTTTGTCAAAATCAAACTAAGTTTAATTTTGGACCCTTTGGACCTCAATGTAGACCAATTTAAAAAACAGGACCCAAAATTAAAAACCTAAATACACGGTTAGATTTGGAATATCAAAGAACCCCAATAATTCAATTTTAGATGAAATCAAACAAAGTTTAATTTTGGACCCTTTTGACCTCAATATGAACCAATTAGATAACGGGGTCCACAAATAAAAAATCTAAATACATGGTTAGATTCAGCATATCAAAGAACCCCATATATTCAATTTTTGTTGAAATCAAACAAAGTTTAATTTTGGACCCCAATTTGGACCAACTTGAAAACTGGGCCAAAAAACAAAAATCTAAATACATGTTTAGATTCAGCATATCAAAGAACCTCATATATTCAATTTTTGCTAAAATCAAACAAAGTTTAATTTTGGACCCTTTGGACATTAATGTAGACCAATTTGAAAACTGGACCCAAAATTAAAAATCTAAATACACTGTTAGATTCGGCATAACAAATAAATAAATGTGATCAAAGATTTTACAAATCTAATGCGCCATACTGTGCAATTAAAGATTACTTCTTGAAATTTTTCAATATTTGAAATTTGAAAAAAAAAAAAATATTTGAAGAATAATTCTTTTTAATTTCTGAAATCTGAAATGAGAAAAAATTGGCCCCCCACAATTTCTTTTTATCCCCCCCCTTTTCCCCCAAAAAAAATTCTTTCCCTCAAGATATGGTCATAATCTCAATTCAAATTTCCAATGGAGTTGGCAACCATAATTACCCATTTAAATTTACCATAGTGCTAACTTAATCTATTTTATAATAGAATTAATAAAAATATAGTGTCAAATCTTTCATATGGATTTTTTTGTAAAAAAAAAAGATGAAAACATTTGCAGATATTTTTACTGGTCTTCCTTTATAAATATGCATTTCTTTAAACATAATTTAAAAGCAGTGTAAGGGAAGTAACCAAAACGTTGTATTTGGATTACCTCCCTTACACTGTTTTAGATTATCTTTATTGTTCATTAACCATTACTTTATACATAATTTAAAAGCAGTGTAAGGGAGATAATTTCAATGATGTATTTGATTTATCTCCCTTACACTGCTTTAAATTATGTTTTGTACTAAAGTATTTGTCCATTAACCAGGACAACCTTGTTTTTCCCCCTTTTTTGCCCCTAATTCCTAAACGGTTTGAGCCATAACCCCCCAAAGCAAATCCTAACCATCCCTTTGTGGTATGGAAACTTGTAGTATAATTTCAGAGAGATCCATACACCGTTCCACAGTTATTGTCTGGAAACTAGAAAATGCTCATTTTTGGCCCCTTTTTGGCCCCTAATTCCTTAACTGTTGGTACCATAACCCCCAAAATCAATCCCAACCTTCCTTTTGTGGTATTTAACCTTATGGTCAAATTTCAAAAAGATCCATTCACTTAAACTAAAGTTAGAGTGCGAAAACCAATATGTATTCGGACGACGACGCCGGACGACGACGACGACGAAGACGACGACGACGACGACGACGACGACGACGACGCCAACGTCATACCAATATACGACCACAAAATTTTTTTGCGGTCGTATAAAAACTGCTCTTTACACCAGGTCACATCAACCATCAACACCTGATTGATGTTTGTGTGACAACAATATATGAAATCTAAGTCTTTAGCTAGAGAGAGGTTCAAAAATTGAAAAGTGATGAATGTGAAATTGAATCAGATGGTTTAACATATGTAGTATGTAGCTTGCTGACAAATTTCAGGAAGCTATCATTGGTTATTCCTGATAAGTGCGATGAAAGTTCACGAAACATGCATATTTTCAATATGGTAAATTCAGAAATTTTTCCATACATTTATTTAATGTGATTTTTGAAGAATGGGTAAAAAAGTGAGGTTAATTATTGTGGTTTCAGTAAATGCTGCATTCAAACAATGCTCAAAAGATTTAAAATGGAAATTTTTATGTTATGCAATACATGGTCTGTTTTTTGACACAATAGTTCATAAATTTATAGTACCTTATATTTTGGTATCATTCACTAATGGTATTTCACCTGAGAATAAACAAACAATTGATTATCATCTTTTTCAATAACCGATGGAAAACGGAGTAAACCAAGAAACTTACTTCCTCTAAACTAAACAATACTCCACCAATAGGAGCACCAAAAGCCACACTGACTCCAGCTGCAGCAGCTGCTGATAATATCTATAAAAAGAAAAGTAGCTTTAAATATATTATATCAGTAAGAACACCAATTGCAAGTTGAAAACTTTCTTTTGATAAAATCTTCTAAAGACTTTTTTCTAGGTACCGGTACCAATTTTTTGGATGGTAAAAACACATTCTCTTTGTGGAAACTTGATTTAGAGATTTAAAAAAGTCTGCATAAACTTGGTCTGTGATAACACTTTAAAGTGGTTAAACTCAACCCACAAAATCCAAAATATTTGGCATGTCATAAACAATATTGATTGATTTTTGTTTGCATAACATCCAAGTGAACCAAAAAATTAATAGTTCCTTTAATTAACAACAGTAATGATACTTTTTTCTAAATAAACAAATCAAAGGTCTTTTAAAGATAACAATGACTATCTTTTAGTTAGACCTTCTCTGAATTCCTTAAGTACTTTTTTTTAATAAATGATTTTTTTTCTTGGCAAGTCTTAAATCACTTTTCATCTTTCATTTTATCTCTATATATTAACATTACAAAGGTATTTCATAAGAATGTGTTACTTTGATTTGGCAGACAAAAACTGGGAGGCATTCAAAAATTTAATTTTATTTCCAAATAAAACGCTACATTCATGACTGCACGCGCTCCCTATAAAGAAGTTACAACATTTGTTCTATGGTTATAGCATAAAAATGTAATTTTATAGGGTTGTCAAAGTCTTGAACATGTGCACATTTGTGGTATGAAGAGCTTCTACGCTTCATATAAAATGTGTTCCAGCATAACACTTTTACACCTTCAACTCACTTTTCACTTTTTTTATTTGAGTCTCACTGATGAGTCTTTTGTAAATTAAATGTACGTCTGGCCTTAACATGAATAGTTCAGTCGTTATTTTCCGCTGATCTTTGATTACTACATTAATGCCTGAAAGCACAGACAATAAAAAATTGATAATTGATCATTTGGCATTAGCACCGGGTTAACCAATCTCCATGAAATTGAGCTAACTTTTGATTGGTCACCTTTTCCACATGGCACCTATCAAAATTCAGGATTCATGACCAGTTTTTAGTGTAATAGGAATTCAGGCCTGACCAGTTTTTAGTGTAATAGGAATTCAGGCCCTCGTAAGTAGGAGAGATTGATCACAGGAGGAACTGAATTATAAAGGTTAGTCTGACCTACAAAATTATAAGCCTGGTATATTTGAATTTGGTATTTTTTTTTCTTCACCCAAATAAAATTACAAGAAGAGTGCATGTGATGTCATGATACACTTACCACCACTCATTATTTAAAGAACTTGATAACAGGAAGAAGGTATCAGACAGATCAGTAAAATGCTCAAACGTTACAACTCATCACTGATAAGATGCTGACTAAATAATGATGTCATTCTCTTCAACAGTACTTGAAAAAATCGTGATGAAAACTTTTAAATTCATTTAAAGTATTAAAAATTTCATTTGGCAAGGAAAGTCATTGTTTTACAGATCCAAAAAGGCCTCATAAGTAACGATTTATCACTGCAAATACTGACTAAATATATAGTCATTCTGTTAAGTGATAACTGAGAAAAGTGTGACAGATATTTTTGTAGGACAAATGACTTGGAAAGGGACTGATGGACACAGACTGAAGACCAGATGGATGAATGGACTGCAGGCCAGATGTATGGACAAGGTTAATGCAATACAGCTGCCTCTATTAAAATTGGGGCAGAGGAGATTTAAAAAGAAACATTCAATTCTTTATAAATATAACATTCTCAAAAATAACAATACATAATGTTTGACTTACCTCCCTTTTCTTAGCTTCATTGGAGCCATATTTAGGAAATAAATAAGAAAAAATATTGCCACAGCATGCAGCGACATGTACAAATGGTCCTTCTTTACCAAGACTTAATCCAGCTGATACAGCTAACATCATTCCTACTGACTTTGTCAATAATGTCCACTTTCCTAAATATCCACGAATAATAAATCCACTTAATATTGTTTTAATCTGCAAAATAGATATATTTTGTTATTCAAAAGAATTTTGGATTCTTGTAAAATTTACATCAATATTTCAAGATGGACAAACATTTGTGCAACGCTATTCTTCTTCTCAACAGACATCAAAAGAATGTTTCTCACTGGCTAATATTCACATTATTGTATTCTTTTTATTGCAAACCTTACAGTAATTCATCTTCACTAGCCAAGGGTTACGATCCAGTCCCCTCCACTCCACCCTTGGCGGATTAAGATAGAATTTCGGATCCACAACGTAATGATTTCCATTGGTCGCAGTTGTAACTGGCTGCATCCAAGGTCAAATGTGGAAATTGTAAATAAACAGTTGCCACATGTAGATTGTGCAACAAAGTCTTTACTCACAAAACAAAGGACGATATGTAGTGACAATTTTAAAGTTAATCACCTAATTAAAGTTCCTGGGTATGTTTCTCGAGCAAATGTTGGAATGTCAATCTGTATTTTCAGTTCCTGCATCACCAAATTTGTAAACACTACACACAACAATCTTTACACTTTCACACTGAAGAGAGTTCAAGCGCTGCCATTGGTCAAGAATGATGTTGTCAAAAGTGGCGTGACTTCTATCTACCGACAGATTGCACAGCATTGTAATCACAAATGTTGGCTTAATCTGCCAAGGGTGTAGAGGTGGGGACTAGATCGTAACCCTTGGCAAATGAATGTACAAACAATGAGGCTAACATAGCAAACACTACAGTCCACAGTTCATACAACAGGTACTTTACAATCTATGGTACATCATGGCTAACCAATAACTTACCTCAGGAATACCTGAACCACAGGCATATGGAGCAAATGAATGTACAAACAATGAGGCTAACATAGCAAACACTACAGCCCACAGTACATATAACAGGTACTTTACAATGTAACCACCAGCTGCTGGCTTCTTTCCAGTCTGGGCTCCTAATATCTCTGACCATGTATTCCACTGAAATCAGAAAAGATCCTTAATATCAAGATCCTACAAGTAAAAATCATTAGTAAGCGCACCATGAGTTAATGAACTAACACTCTGAGTAATGTAAAGGTTTTAGCTTGAAAACTGTAGAAGTTAGCTTGACAAACCATTTACACTGTGCATTATTTCAATAACAACTAGAGGCTCTCAAGAGCCTGTGTCACTCACCTGTATTTACTGATGCTTTGGAAATCATGTAAAATAAGGTTAAAATCATAATTAATAGTATTAGATATAAGATATTATAATGATATCTAAGATAATAACAAAAAACTGAAAAATTTCTGTAAAATTACTAACTCAGGGGCAGCAACCCAACAACAGGTTGTTGGATTCGTCTGAAAATTTCAGGGCAGATAAATCTAAATCCGATGAACATTTTTGCTACCTGTCAGATTTGCTCTAAATGCTTTAGTTTCAGAGATATAAACCAAAAACTGCATTTTACCCCTATGTTCTATTTTTAACCAAGTCGGCCATGATGGTTGGAAGGCGGGGTCATCGGACAAATTTTTTAAACTAGATACCGGTACTCTAATAATGATTAAGGACAAGTATGGCTAAATTTGTCTCAGTAGTTTCAGAGAAGAAGATTTTTGTAAAAGATTACAAAAATTTACGAAAAATTGTTTAAAAAGGGCTATAATGGGCAATAACTCCTAAAGGGGTCGTCTGACAATTATTTGTAGATCTTACTTTGCTAAACATTATTGCTGTTTACAGTTTATCTCTATCTATAATAATATTCAAGATAATAACCAAAAACTGCAAAATTTCCATAAAATTACCAATTCAGGGGCAGCAACCCAACAACAGGTTGTCAGATTTGTCTAAAAATTTCAGGGCAGATAGATCTTGACCTGATAATCAGTTTTACTCTATGTCAGATTTACTCTAAATGCTTTGGTTTCAGAGATATAAGCCAAAATCTACATTTTACCCCTATGTTCTATTTTTAGCCATGGCGGCCATCTTGGTTGGTTGGCGGGGTATTGGACACATTTTTTAAACTAGATACCCTAATGATGATTGTGGCCAAGTTTGGTTAAATTTGGCCCAGTGGTTTCAGAGGAAAAGATTTTTGTAAAAAGCTAACGACGACGGACGACTATGACGACGACGGAAGACGGACGCCAGGTGAGCTAAAAATTTAAGAATTTCATGAAAAAAGCCCTGGAAACATGCACACCAATGTATTTACATCCTGCACAATATAAACGTTCTTGCTAGAAAACTGAAGGAGTTAGCTGGACAAACCATTCACTTAATGTGGGACTGATAGGCAGACAGGGGTAAAACAAAGACCCCCACCCAACATTTTGTTGTCATTTTGTTGTGTGTCTGTTAATATTATTTTAGAGTCCTTTGTTTAATTACAGGTAGATTACAACACTTGATTTACCTTTTCCTTAACGAGGTCTACATTGATTCTAATGATCAAACTTTGGTCAATCCTAAACAATGATTTATAGGGTCATTAAACAATGAGTCTCCTACATACACTGAAATCCTATAAACTATGATCAAACTGTATGCTATGTTTCAAAGACTTAATTGCCATTGATCTGCAATGGGAAATTCTATGTAAACAGCACTGTTCCAAGGAAAAGAAAATTATGTCTCAAATCCATCATTTAACAATCTTAAATATGCAACCATTAAAAGGACAACAAACAAAACCTGTTCTGTCATCTAAATATTAAGACAGTACTTTTAGCTTCAAAAGTATCACAGTTATACTGTTTTTAGCCAAATTTGCATTGTCAGTTTACTTTCAACTTATGAGTTTGAGTATCCCTTTGGTATCTTTTGCCTCTCTTTTAATTCTGGAAAACATAAGGAAAACTCTTGGACCAAAATAATTTTGTAATAGAAAGATGTATTTGGTTTTTACACACATTCTAACAGAAATAACATGTTTCTAAAGCCAAAACTTTCCAACTTTAGCAAAAAAGTAAACACACATAATAAAGACCCCATCACCAAGTTATTCAGGTTAGAGAATAACAAGATCTTACAATAGTGTACACTTCGGCCAGAGTTTTATTCTGGTCAGTAAAGAAAAAAGTGATAAGTTGTGAAAATAAAATCACTGAAATTTCAACAGCTTTGTTATTTTTAAATTTAAAAAAAAAACAGCAAAACATGAACCCTTTAAAATATACTTCAGTTGACTGTAGATGTAACTGTTTACTGTTCAAAAATAAATATCAGGTATATTGAAGGGTGCATTTACTATTAGCACTGTGTTTCTTTCAGGATAGATCTGCTTTCAAAGAGTTGATACTGCACATGGTCTTGACAATAGCACTATACTATACCTGACTACATCCCTCATCATCATATGTAGTATCATTGGCCGACCAGCAGCATTGTTCTTTATTTAACCAAAAAGCTTCTTTACATATGCCCTCTTTGAGATCTGACATCCATGTGGCTCCAATGTCTATAACACCAGCACAGAGGCCTGTGAAAAAAATCACATGGTCATATTCTAACCCAAAATCAGAAAGGCTTCTAAATCTATAATACCAACACAGAAGTCTGTAAAGTACTGTAAATTCAGAAATTTTGGCAATGATTTCTCTGTTGCAAAAAATTGCAACATGATAGGAGTAAAAAAAAACCTTGTAGTCCCCCCCTCCCCCTAAAAAAAAAAAGACATTAATAAGTTCATCTTTTGGTACGGAAACCCATAAAATCAATCAAGATCAAATATTAAAATACCAGGTGAACAGCTACATGTCCAGTAGAAGAAGCAGTGCAAGTTTGGTGAAAATCTTTTAAACCATTTTCAAGGAATTGCTGATTAACAAACTATTATAAGTTGAAATAGGTATCATCATACTTAGTGAGGGAAACAAAATAAAAGGCACTTAGATCAATTATCAAAATGGCATATGCCCTGTAGAAGATTCTGTGCAATTTGAGTTGAATTCTGCCTGAGTGACACAGAAAATGATAAATTGATTGTTGCTTGCATAACGTCAGGATGAGAACAAATAAATAATTTGTACAATAGGTAGGTTCTGCATTGACTGGGATAAGACCAAGAAATTTGAACTGCCACTACAAAATAATGGTATGTTGGATAGTGGTAGATATTTTGCCATGTAACAGGCTACCTAAAGACTCACTACAAAATAGTGGTATGTTGGATAGGGGTAGATATTTTGCAATGTAACAGGCTACCGAAAGACTCAACAGACAGTTGTTGCAAGAGCTCTTTACTGTGCAGAGAACAATGCACTCGACCTACACAAGGCATCAGATTTAACGTCCCAATTCCGACTGGACATGGTTATGAGTTTATACATCCTGCATAGCCAAAAGGACACCCACTTTGGTAAGATTTACTGCTAGAATTGGTGTAGTCAGAGGATAACCATATTTCTACACCCCAGTCAACCCTTGGGATCTACAATACAGATGATGACAAAGCAAGATTACAGATGTGAATCTATATGTTGCTACAGCTTCGCTTTCATGCAAAACAAGATGCTAGACAACAGATGTGGCATTAACTATTTACTGTCAGGCTTCTTAAAACATATTTAATTGATCAATCAATTTGGCATTAAGTCAACATATCAATCAATCAATCAATCAATTAATTGGGTAATTTATCAATAAAGAAATCAATCAATCAATCATTCAATGAATATCCTAGTCAGTTCAGAATTATTATTTCAGATCTGACCACTGAATTGTCTGTCTAACAGATATTCTATCTTGTCCTTACGATTATCATCAAACACATATATTCTGTCTGTATGACTGTTATATGATATAAATAATATTCCAATATGTTTTCCCCTAACAAATGACCTTTTACCATTCTAATTTCCTCCTAAGATTGATAAGGAAATGGACTTATCTGTAATTGATTTGGTATTCCCTCCCAATGACTTCTCGATAAGTTAATTGATGGATTCCGGCTAATTGGATAAATCAAGGCCTGACATTTCTATAACTAGAAAACAGTAGGAAAAGATCAAATCATAGAACTTTATTCAATTTAATCCATTCTCACAAGGATCATATTACATTTTTTCTCATGGAATTTATTAGAATAGTAACAAAGATTTTGTATTGAAACTTGTTAAGTAATGAAAATGTTATTAAGAACATATTCCACAAGTTCCAATTTAAAATTGCCATTTCTGTGTAATTAGAAGACAATCTTTAGGAGACTATGGAAGGTTACAAAACTCATAATTTCCTTAACATTTTATATAATGTAATAAAACGTAAATCATAGTGAATGGAAAGTAATGGGAAAATCTACCAATGCAACATAACTAATGAAAAAATATTATCGCAGACAGCTATCAAGGATTTTATTGTCACAAATTGAGATTATCTGCTGATAAGTAAAATCAAGATTAGTGAGAGTAAAGTTTAAAACCAAATACAGTTATCTCCATTCTAATTATTTTACAAAATATTAGTTTTTTTTAGTTTTTTTAAGGGTCTAAAATCACAAAAGCTGAAATTCAATGAAATTTTCTTTTATGATATAGTCCTTAAAACAATGGGATAATCTACTATGAATTATTCAAGAGTAGTACTTTAACACAGGACAATCTTACTTTCATAGAGTACTGTTATTTATTGTGATTTATTGATAAATTTAATGTTAGATTTCTAGATAATAAAAAAATAAGTAGATGTGGTATGACTGCTAATGAAACAACTATCCACCAAAGTTCAAATGAAGTGGATGTAAGCAATTATAGGCAACCATACAGCTTTCAACAATGAGAAAAAACCCATACCGTATAGTCGGCTATAGAAGGCCATGACATGAAAAATAAGTAACAAGGCAATTGAGAAAACTAATGGCCTAATTTATAACTTATTTCTATATTCCATAAAAAACAACGAACAAAGAACAAAACATCATTTTTTTGCGACCACAACCTACAGAACACAAACCTATAAAACCCATAATATACTGCAGTTGTGCTAATTGCACAGTCAAATTACATTGACCATATAATCAGTTGGTGATATACAGTCACTGACCTTGTTTATGACATTGAACATGCATTTCCTTAGAGTTTTATTTATGACAACATTATAAGTACAGGTTCACGGAATGTTTATGTCGTTTGCTCCAAATTAAAAAAATTATGATTTTTACCCTAAATATTTCATTTGGAACAGTTGTAGGAGTTGCAGTATATAAAGAATAACCATACATTGTCTCGTCTCGAAATATAAATTTTATTTGTACTCGGCTCAAAACAGGATAGAAATGCTCGGCAAAGCCTCGCTTTCTTCCTGTTTCTTAGCCTTGTACAAATCAAATTTATATTTCGAGACATAATGTATGGTTATTCTTTATTTATAAAGTCATGGGCATTCTATCCTCCCTCCTAACCATGATCATTATAATATAGGTTTCACTGTTAAAGCTCACTAACCAGCAGCTACACCAACTAACAGGACACACACCCATCCCGACCATGCATCATGGGCACTCAGAATCTTTTCCCAGCATCCTTCTTGTCTCTTTTTGGTGATGTGACGATGTCTCATACGATCTCTAGCAATATCTCTCAACCAATCAATTGTGTGGAAATCCTCATATTGACCAATCCCTGAAGGCAGGTCCTCCAAGGTGTCCATCAAATTAGACGAACCTAAAAATTAGAATATAAATCTATCAAATCATGTTATAATGTGAAGATTTACATAGGAATCACTTATATATCTATAATAATTATATGCAATTATAAGAAAATTTTTAAATAAACAGTCACTCTTTTTCAAGTTATTACATTAACCACTTTTGTTATTTACATTGAGACCACATTTAACACTAAGTGTACTTTAACACAATGTGCAGCTTTTTTTTAATTCTAAATGATGATTTAGATCCATTTTATTTTGGTCAGCTGCATATGTACCCCTTAAGTGCCATATTATTAGAGGTGTAATTCTAAACAATAAGTAGTCACTGAAGTGTACAATTTGATATATATAGTCAAAACCATTACCTCTGATGGACAATGTACATATCATAAATTGTTACATCTCCTGTATAATACAAACTAAAACTGACCCAAACAATTATAAGTTGGTACCCTTACCACTCCTTTACAATAAATATATGTGTCTGTAAATCTGTATGTAGCTGTTTATTTACAATCATAACAAATTGTCTTATTTACATACAAAATGTTATCGTTGATGCATATTTTTAATATAACTTATCAAGATGATCTTTATTGATAATTTACCTTTATTCATTGATAATTCAATGTTGTGATAGATAATCTATTTATAAAAAATATAAGAAAAATGTTGCTTTACACTGTCAAGTGCAAAAATGATGCATAGTTATAACACATTACCATTTTCTTGAGTTGAAGTCGGAGATTCCACTTCATCCATTTCTTTATAATTCTTCACCATATGGTGATACATATCCTGAAGCCTCGTTAACTTTTCCATTTCCACCAACTTTTTGAAATAACTAATTTGCAAGTATTTCGAATGAATATTTGAGCTTTTTTTTTAGAAAAGTGAAGTAAAATCAGTCAACATCTCCGAACAAATCCTAATCAAATACTATGTAATTGCTTCAGTCAAACATTGACTTTTGAAAATTTGCCTTCTAACCTCAAGTCAAATTATCAAACTAAATCGAATAATACAAAACACATTATTTTCGTTAAATTCTAGTCCAAAGTTATTAAAACAAGAAAAAACTTTATCCAAAACCACTGATTGCCCATAAGCAATAAAATTCAATTTAAATTTCTACAAAATCAGTTTAACAGTGTTGACAAATCTTCTTGACGAAAATCACTGTCATAATTTCCTGTCACAATACAAAATCCATACTGTCATTTTTTCCTGTGGCAAAATTATTTAACCATGTACAGAGAACCTCCAAGTGTTACAACAAGATCTTCTACTGAGGACATTTACATCTAGGCATATTGACAAAGTTAACGTCAACAATCTCTAACCATGATACAGACTTGGATCTAATGAATATAAAATACTATCAGACTCTCCGCACACTTTTACCATACAATTCCAATATGTATGTAAATTGGACTGCTATTTTACAGCCAGAATGCAAGCTTTTAAGATCTGTCATTTAAACATCTCGTAAAATTACAATGTAAACTATGTCTTTTATTCATTGAGCATATAACATATCATAATAACTCAATATTTCCAACAAATATCCAAACTCGGAAACTTTTAAATTGATTTTCCTTTTGTTAATTATAAAATTACAGAAACCTCAGGAACACTAAGCCATTAAATCCATACAAGTTAGTTAATATATCCAGGTTATATATGATATTTACATATAACACCAGCAAATTTAATGTGTATGAGTCTGCATTAAATAATACAACACATCATGGTGACTGATAAACAATATTCTTTATTAATGAATAATATTTGCAAGGAAGATGATAACCATGATTATAAAATAATAAGACCAATGGACTTATCAGCTGCCTGACAGTGGACCACAATTACAGGTAATTAACTCTATTTATTGTACAAAATTATATTTTTATCAAATTTATTGCTGCAGAGCAATTGTGTTTACTTAAATTTCTTTTTTGTCTTTCTTCATTGAACAAAAAACGTAATCATGAATTCTTATTATTATTATACTTAGAAGAAAGTTTTGATTGATACTTTCATTGACAGAAAAAAACAAGCAAAAACAAACACAAAATTATAAATAAAACCTTACTTAAACACAACTATAGTGACTCCAAACTTCTTCTCATAGCTTCATGTAGATGCTATGTAATTGACAGAGAAGCAGCAATTACATTTTAGGTCTTTGGATACTGACCGTGGGAGACCCTCATGGGTAGTCAAGGTCATTAAAAATAAAAGAACCTTAGTGAGCGCGCTCACATACCCCACGTCCCCACATTGTCACTGGAGAAATAAAATAACAGTAAGAAAAAAAAATTGTATAAGAAAAAAAATTTGAATCATAATTTCCTGTTGATATGCACATCTATGTAGTATGTCCTTATTATCTACAAAGTTTCATGAAATTCTGTTGTGTGGTTTCGGAGGAGTTGCGATGACAAACTGTTGCAGTAGTATATTGAAGCAAATAAGTTCAAAGGGGCATAACTCCTAAAAAAAAAAATTGAATCGTAATTTCCTGTCCATATGCACATCTGCATAGTATGTCCTTATTATCTAAAAAGGTTTCATGAAATTCTGTTGTCTGGTTTCAGAGAAGTTGCGATGACAAACTGTTGCAGTAGTATATTGAAGCAAATAAGCTCAAAGGGGCGTTACTCCTAGAAAAAAAATTGAATCGTAATTTCCTGTCGATATGCACATCTACGTAGTATGTCCTTATTTTCTGAAAAGGTTTCATGAAATTCTGTTGTGTGGTTTGAGAGGAGTTGCGATGACAAGAAACAGGACTGACAGACTGACAGCCAGACGGACGGACAGACGGACAGGTCAAAAACATTATACCCTCTGCAACTCGTTGCGTGGGGTATAATAAATGTAGAATGTGTACCCATGGACACAGATGATGCCCTCGCTTGCAAACATTATAAAGAGACATAACTCAAGAACAATAAAAGTGACACTACCCAAATTTGTACTTGATCTGAGTTTTGTGGTAATAAGTATTGTGTAAAGGTTTCATAATGTTTGGTTGGGGCAAACTTAAGTTACAGAACGGAAACTAAAATTTAGCAATTTTTCCATTTATAAAGGGGCATAACTCTAGAACGGTTAAAGAGACGCCACAAAAACTCAAACTTGATCTGTGTTTTGTGGTAATAAGCATTGTGTATAAGTTTCATAACATTTGGTTGAGGCAAAATTAAGTAAGAGAACGGAAACTAAAAATTTTGTTATTTTTCCATTGATAAAGGGACATTATAACTCAAATTTTTTTAATTTTTCCATTTATAAAGGGGCATAACTCTAGAACAGTTAGAGTGACGCTACCAAAATTCAAACTTGATCTGTATTTTGTGGTAATAAGCATTGTGTATAAGTTTCATAACATTTGGTTGAGGCAAACTCAAGTTAGAGAACGGAAACCAATTTTGGGATGTACGGATGTACGTACGGACGGACAGGGGTAAAACTTAATGCCCCCGCCGTATATAGTAGCGGAGGGGGCATAAAAATTTAGTAGTAGTCTTTGGATAGACCGAGAATTCGACCAACTCCACAGCCTTTTTCACTGGGAAGACCTCCAACACTGTTTATAGAACAAAAGCCCTTAAGACTATATGTCAAAAGGAAAATGCTAGTTCAACTCTTTAAACTCTGTGATTAACAGCTTACATCTATCTAGGGTATAGATATTTGTCTAGTGCTGAAGACATTCTATGGACGTCTGGGTGTCTCTTGAGTTATTTGTCTGTTGTTGGTTTATTCTTTCCTTAAGTATACTTTTCATCTACTTTTTTTTCATAAAGTTTAATAGCATAAATTAAACATTTAATCATTAATTTAATAAATAAAACAAGCATGCTGTTTAAGTACATAAACATTTCAATTTATTCTGTTTAGAATGAACCAAGTATTTCCTTCTACATCCAATCTTAAAATGTTTCATGCAAGACTAAACAGGTGCTCTTAGACCTTTTAGTAATGTCATCAGCCTGATTAACTTGACAAGAAAATACATCAAATGAAAGTTTAAACAATATGTCTGCCAATAATCACCCTGTATATAAACTGGATTTATTATTTGCTTTCATATGCAAGAATGATCAGGATTTTTTTTATGAATAAACATTTAATGAAAATCAAACTTAGGAATAAGAATCATGCATATTTTATATCATGATTAACTAATAAAGGAAGTTTCAAACCTTTCACCTAACTCATTCATATACCATGTTCTATGATTTACAAATAAGTTGTCATGGAAACACTCGTTTGGTAATGAAAGGGCTTCTCAACTTTTGACTTTGATATTCTGATTGAGAGTGCAAATTGATTAACTGTTTCCGATGACTATTTTAAGGATCAGTTGACAAAATCAATCCTGAATTTAAGATTTATAATGGATCCCTCCTTTAACAGCTGACTAATCTATTTTGGAAAATATAAACTGGAAAAATTATGAGCTTGAATGAACAGTTATTCTCTGCTTTAAGAGATGACATTTTTCAAACTATCATTAAGAATTAATGAACTTTTCATGGAAGCTTTACAGACACAATCATAGATATCAATTATTGATTCTAGAATATCATTTCATCTAGGTTTCTCTGTTTTTGCAATTTTCAATAAATACCCTTATAAGGTTATCACAGAAAAGTGTACTATTTGTAATACACATTACGTAAACAACTGGTTCAACACTTAGGTGTACTCTAAAGTTTGTAATTAACCTTTCCCATGCTGAGCAGGGATATAAATGTAACTTAATTTAAAAACACATAAATTTACATGAAACCAGTTCAATAAAATATGTACCACTGTTTCAGGTTAGGGTGAAGGTTGGCGCCTGTTGAAACGTTTAAACCTGCTGCATTTTATGCACCTGTCTTAAGTCAGGAGCCTGTTGTTCAGTGGTTGTCGTTTGTTGGTGTGGTTCATCAGTGTTTCTCGTTTCTAGTTTCTCATTTTTTTTATAGATTAGACAGTTGATTTCCTGTTTGAACTGTTTTACACTAGTCTTTTTGGGGCCCTTTATAGCTTGCTGTTCCATGTGAGCCAAGGCTCCATGTTGAAGGCTGTACTTTAACCTATAGTTGTTTACTTTTTACACATTGTGACTTGAATGGATAGTTGTCTCATTGGCACTTATACCACATCTTCTTATTTATATACATGATATATATGAAACAAATCTGAATGACCATGATGACCAATTTTGTATATTTACTGAGACCTAATCCTTTGTGAGCATGAAAATCAGGCTATGGATCAGGATGTTCAATGTTTAGCAGCAAATATTACATGCATATTCAAAACAAGTTTTTATGCCCCATCTAGGGGCATTATGTTTTTTGGTCTGTGAGTACGTTCATTCGTTCGTCTGTTTGTTTGTCCGTTTGTTCGTTCGTCCGTCTGTCCTGCATCAGGTTAAAGTTTTTGGTCAAGGTAGTTTTTGATGAAGTTAAAAGTCCAATCAATTTGAAACTTAGTACACATGTTCCCTATGATATGATCTTTCTAGTTTTACTGCCGAATTAGTTTTGACCCCTAGTTCATGGTCCACTGAACATAGAAAATGACAGTGTGAGTGGGGCATCTGTGTACTATGGACACATTTTTGTTAAGATGTAAATTTCGTTTAAATAAATGTGGATTGTGTCCACATGTGGACACAGATGATGCCCCCGCTTGCATATCATATAGTTATAAAGGGACATAACTGAAGAACGGAAAAAGTGACACTACCCAACTTTGAACTTGATCTGAGTTTTGTGGTAATAAGCATTGTGTGTAAGTCTCATAACATTTGGTTGAGGCTAACTTAAATAGAGAACAGAAACTAAAAATTCAGTAATTTTTCTATTTGTAAACACGCATTACTCTAGAACGGTTGTTAGTAGTTTTAGAACATTTGGTTGAGACAAACTAAAGTTAGAGAACGGAAACGAAATTTTTATGTTTATAAAGGGACATAACTCAAGAATGGTAAAAGTGTCGTCACCAAATTTCGTACTTAATCTGTATTATGTAGTAATAAGCATTGTGTATAAGTTTCACAACATTTGGTTGAGGCAAACTAAAGTTAGAAAACGGAAACAAAAATTTTGTACTTGATCTTAGTTTTGTGGTAATGAATATTGTGTATAGGTTTCATAATGTTTGGTTGGGGCAAACTTAAGTTGCAGGATGGAAACTAAAAATTTTGCAATCTTTCGATTTATAAAGGGGCATAACTCAATAATGGTTAAAGTGACACTACCCAAATTCAACTTGATCTGTGTTTTATCAGTGGAAGTCAAAATTAAACATTGCATTGTATAAAGCATTGACTGTAGTTGGTCCAAGGACACAGCTATCGTCCTTTGGTTTTCGTTGTCTACGAATATAGTCCCTAGTGTGAACTGTGAACAGTGTATAACTTGCATTTTTTTTTATACACTTTCCCAATATATTTCTTGATATTTTATGCATAAAATATTAAATAAGGGGATGAAATTACATATAAAAAAAATTTGGGTGGTGAATTTTTATGTTAAGTAGTGATTTGGTCCAGTTAAAAAAGGTCAAAAATTTGAATGTCTGAAGCTGTCAAACTGAATTTTAGCCCCCCTTAACACAGAATTGTCAATATTTTGAGTTAGAGCTGGTAGAAGTTTCTATAATTTTGATATTATTTGTATCAGTAGTAGTACACTACACTGTAAAAATCTTTTTGAGATAGAGCAGGTGCGATTTGTTTTAATTTGAATTTATTGTCTAAAAGAAATGCACTATGAAATAACTGTGTTCTCGGGCCAGTTGATTCAATTATAATCATGGACAAAGGAAGATAACTCCAATTTAAACAAGAGTGCACACGCTGAAATGTCTCGCCTTCTTTACTAATCATTGATATTATGTTGATAGTCCTAAATATAAAGCTTTATTACAACTGTCACATAAACTTAACATTAACCAAGTAAACTAAACATTGACCAATGAACCATGAAAATGAGGTCAAGGTCAGATGAACCATGCTAGGCAGGCATGTACAGCTAACAATTCTTCCATACAACAAATAGAGTTGACCTATTGCTTATAGTTTAAGAAAAACAGACCAAAACACAAAAACTTAACACTGAGCAATGAACCTTGAAAATGAGGTCAAGGTCAAATAAAACCTGCGTGACTGCCAAATAGATCATAAAATATTTCCACACACCAAATATAGTTGAACTATTGCATATAGTATAAGAAAAACAGACCAAAACACAAAAACTTAACTTTAACCACTGAACCATGAAAATGAGGTCAAGGTCAGATGACACCTGCCAGTTGGACATGTACACCTTACAGTCCTTCCATACACCGAATATACTAGACCTATTGCTTATAGTATCTGAGATATGGACTTGACCACCAAAACTTAACCTTGTTCATTGATCCATGAAATGAGGTCGAGGTCAAGTGAAAACTGTCTGACGGGCATGAGGACCTTGCAAGGTACGCACATACCAAATATAGTTGAACTATTGCACATAGTATTAGAAAAAAAGACCAAAACTCAAAAACTGAACTTTGACCACTGAACCATGAAAATAAGGTCAAGGTCAGATGACACCTGCCCGCTAGACATGTACACCTTACAATCATTCCATACACCAAATATAGTAGACCTATGGCATACAGTATAAGAAAAACAGACCAAAACACAAAAACTTAACTATAACCACTGAACCATGAAAATGAGGTCAAGGTCAGATGACACCTGCCAGTTGGACATGTACACCTTACAGTCCTTCCATACACCGAATATACTAGACCTATTGCTTATAGTATCTGAGATATGAACTTGACCACCAAAACTTAACCTTGTTCATTGATTCATGAAATGAGGTCGAGGTCAAGTGAAAACTGTCTGACGGGCATGAGGACCTTGCAAGGTACGCACATACCAAATATAGTTGAACTATTGCACATAGTATTAGAAAAAAAGACCAAAACTCAAAAACTTAACTTTGACCACTGAACCATGAAAATGAGGTCAAGGTCAAATGACACCTGCCCGCTAGACATGTACACCTTAAAATCATTCCATACACCAAATATAGTAGACCTATGGCATACAGTATAAGAAATACAGACCAAAACACAAAAAATTAACTATAACCACTGAACCATGAAAATGAGGCCAAGGTCAGATGACACCTGCCAGTTGGACATGTACACCTTACAGTCCTTCCATACACCGAATATACTAGACCTATTGCTTATAGTATCTGAGATATGGACTTGACCACCAAAACTTAACCTTGTTCATTGATCCATGAAATGAGGTCGAGGTCAAGTGAAAACTGTCTGACAGGCATGAGGACCTTGCAAGGTACGCACATACCAAATATAGTTGAACTATTGTACATAGTATTAGAAAAAAAGACCAAAACTCAAAAACTTAACTTTGACCACTGAACCATGAAAATGAGGTCAAGGTCAAATGACACCTGCCCGCTAGACATGTACACCTTACAATCATTCCATACACCAAATATAGTAGACCTATGGCATACAGTATAAGAAAAACAGACCAAAACACAAAAACTTAACTATAACCACTGAACCATGAAAATGAGGCCAAGGTCAGATGACACCTGCCAGTTGGACATGTACACCTTACAGTCCTTCCATACACCGAATATACTAGACCTATTGCTTATAGTATCTGAGATATGAACTTGACCACCAAAACTTAACCTTGTTCACTGATCCATGAAATGAGGTCGAGGTCAAGTGAAAACTGTCTGACGGGCATGAGGACCTTGCAAGGTACGCACATACCAAATATAGTTATCTTATTACTTATAATAAGAGAGAATCTAACATTACAAAAAATCTTAACTTTTTTTTCAAGTAGTCACTGAACCATGAAAATGAGGTCAAGGACATTGGACATGTGACTGACGGAAACTTCGTAACAAGAGGCATCCATATACAAAGTATGAAGCATCCAGACCTTCCACCTTCTAAAATATAAAGCTTTTAAGAAGTTAGCTAACGCCGCCGCCGCCGCCGCCGCCGCCGGATCGCTATCCCTATGTCGAGCTTTCTGCGACAAAAGTCGCAGGCTCGACAAAAATTACTTGATATTTAGAAGAAAATAAAAATTTTGCAATTTTTCCATTTATAAAGGGCATAACTCTAGAACGGTTAAAGTGATGGCACCAAAATTCAAACTTGATCTGTGTTTTGTGGAAATAATCATTGTGTATAAGTTTCATAACATTTAGTTGGACAAACTTAAGTTAGAGAACGGAAACTAAAAATTATGCAATTTTTCCATTTATAAAGGGGCATAACTCTAGAATGGTTAAAGTGACACCACCAAAATTCAAACTTGATCTGTGTTTTGTGGTAATAAGCATTGTGTATAAGTTTCCTAACATTAAGTTGAGACAAACTCAAGTTAGAGAACGGAAACCAATTTTGGTACGTATGTACGTACGTACAGATGGACAAGGGTAAAACTTAATGCCCCACCGCTACAGCGAGGGCATAAAAACAGTTGCAGAATTTTACTTTGGGGAATGAAAAAGAAATAAAATGCTTCGCTGAGCGCAGCTGGATACGACCGCAGAGGTCCAACCCTGAACAGTTGGGGCAAAAATGGACACAATGTTCGCCCTTGATTCAGGTCTGAATTTGGGTTGTAATTAAATATTTGACACATAATAGGTTTCTGACTCCGAATAACTGTAGTCAAAGAACTTAGAATTGGTTATATGATTTGAATTTATATTCAATTTTTTGCTTTTGTGCAATACACTATGCTGTTGCGAAATTGACCCCCCCCCCCCCCACCCAGAAAAAATTTACCCCCCTTTTTTTTTTGCTTTTGTGAAATACACTATGCTGTTGCGTATTGACCCCCCCTCCCCAAAAAAAAAATGTTTATCCCCCCCCCCTTTTTTTGCAAAAAGAAATATTTAAAGAAATTTTCTTTTTTTAATTTTTCTGAAATCTTAAATGAAAAAAAAAAAAGCCCCCACAATTTCTTTTTTATCCCCCTTTCCCCCCCTAATTTTTTTTTTCACCTCCCCCCCCTATTTTCTCAAAAATAAAATTCTTTCCCTCAAGATATGGTCATAATCTCAATTCAAATTTCCAATGGAGTTTGCAACCATAATTACCAATTTAAATACATCATAAAAGCCTTAAAATAGAAAAAAAAAATCCCCCATCCCCAATTTTTTTAACCCCCTTATGATTCATCACCCCCAAACTCAATCCTAGCCTTCCCTTTGTGGTATGGTACCTTGCAGTACAATTTCAGAGAGATCCATACACTTGAACACAAGTTATTGTCTGGAAACTAGAAAAATGCTTGTTTTTTGGCCCTTTTTGGCCCCAAATTCCTAAACGTCTAGGGCAATTACCCACAAACTCAAACCCAGCTTTCACTTTGTGATATGGAACCTTGTAGTACAATTTCATACAGATCCATACACTTACAAACAAGTTATTGTCCTGAAACTAGAAAAATGCTTGTTTTTTGCCCCTTTTTGGCCCCTAATTCCTAAACTTTTGAGGCAATTACCCCCAAAATCCATCCCAGCCTTCCCTTTGTGGTATGGTACCTTGCAGTACAATTTCAGAGATATCCATACAATTGAACACAAGTTATTGTCTGGAAACTAGAAAAATGCTTATTTTTTGCCCCTTTTTGGCCCCTTATTCCTAAACGTTTTAGGCAATTACCCCCAAACTCAATTCCAGCTTTCCCTTTGTGATATGGAACCTTGTAGTAAAATTTTAGAAAGATCCATACACTTACACACAAGTTATTGTCATGAAACTAGAAAAATGCTTGTTTTTTGGCCCCTAATTCCTAAAATTTTGAGGCAATTACCCCCAAAATCAATCCCAGCATTCCCTTTGTGATATGGAACCTTGTGGTAGAATGTCAGAGAGATCCATACACTAACACACAAGTTATTGTCTGGAAGTTACAAAAATGCTTATTTTTGGCCCCTAATTCCTTAACTGTTGGTATCCTAACCCCCAAAATCAATCCCAACCTTCCTTTTGTGGTATTGAACCTTATGGTAAAATTTCATAGAGATCCATTCACTTAAAACTAAAGTTATTGTGCGAAAACCAATGTGTCTTCGGACGACGACGACGCCAATTTTTTGCGGTCGTATAAAAACTAAATTTCCTAATTTTCAACCAGCTTTCAATCAGAAACTCCATTTTAAGAAAATCTGGATTTCAAAATTGTTATCATAGTAACATAAAAGTAACTATTTAACATTACATGAAATGAAGGAAAATCATCAATAACAGAATAAGACAGAAAACCAACAACACAAGTTCACCAAATACAGGTATTCAGAGGATTTTCTCGCTGCGTTGAAGACCCATTGGTGGCCTTCGACTGTTATCTGCTCTTTGGTCGGGTTGTTGTCTCTTTGACATATTCCCCATTTCCATTCTCAATTCTATTGAGAGGTTACTATATTTTTCAACCATGAACAAGCACCCATAAGATGGTACAAGCTTCTATTATGTCTTTCGGACAGGTTGCATGACAATATCAGGTTGTTACAACATAATGTTAATATGCACTGAAGCAGAATGAATTCTACATCAACATCCTAATCATGATGTCCTGTGTTTGATAGATAATTACAATGATGGTAAAACTAACAAGATTGCTCATGCCTTGTTACCCTACTCAATACATATTACTTACAATCTGAGTCAAGTATTCAGCTTAAATTGTTTAAAATACAAATTGACAGCTTTTATTTCTTTTTAAGAGAGCCCAATTAAGTATTATCCTTGACTTCTTTAGTTTTAGTTACAAACTTTAAGTCACATAGAGGTGTGTCAACTTTTCAATCCTTAAAACAAGGAGGTCTATTTATATCAATGTAAACAGAGATGGGAGATTTGAACCTGTTTCATGTTGTAAACAATAACATTAAAGTTGTCTGATTATGTAATTGAACTATCAATTGTTGAATGAGAACCTTTAATGAGCTAGCTCAAATACTATAGGACACAAACATAAGTAGTGATTGGTCATTGGAAAGGTAAATACTAGGAAATTTAGTTCACTCAATGTCATAGTATAATACTTTCCATTGACTACCCAATTTAACACATATTCATCAACTTGAGTAATCTTATTATTGGTCTATATATGTCAACTTTTGCTGACTTTTTGTTCACACTCAGGTGTTTTTAAAAAGAGTTCATTCACTAAGTTTTATGTTATGTAAATTTACTCACTAATATCATAGCTGTCATATTTGTTCAGTTTATGACAGTGCTTTACCAGATCTTGAACTTATAAATGCAGCACACAAGATTTGGAAACAAGATGGTTTATTGCATACATGAAAAATTTAATGTTTGCCATTGGACATACCTAAGCAAACAACAATCAATCAATCAATCAATCAAACAATTAAAAAATAATTTTTAATACCAAGGATTTTAATAGTAAGATATATAATTGAAACTAGAGGCTCTAAAGAGCCTGTGTCACTCACCTCGGTCTATGTACATATTAAACAAAGAACACACATTATAGAAAAGAATAGAATTCATGACAAAATCTCTGTTTTGGTGATGGTGACTTGTTTGTATATCTTACTTTACTGAACATTCTTACTGTTTACAATTATCTCTACATAAAATGAACTTGGCCCAGTAGTTTCAGAGGAAAAGATTTTTGTAAAAATTTACAAAAATTTACAAAAATTGTAAAAAAAATTACTTTAAAGGGCAATAACTCTGGAAGGGGTCAATTGATAATTTGGATCATGTTGACTTATTTGAAGAACTTACATTGCTGAACAATTTAGCTGTTTACAGTTTATCTCTATCTATTATAATATTCAAGATAATAACCAAAAACTGCAAAATTTCCTTAAATTTACCAATTCAGGGGCAGCAACCCAACAAGGGGTTGTTTGATGCGCCTGAAAATTTCATGGCAGATAGTTCTTAACCTGATGAATAATTTTACTCCTTCTCAAATTTGATCTAAATGCTTTAGTTTCAGAGATATAAGCCAAAAACTGCATTTTACCCCCATGTTCTATTTTTAGCCATGGTGGCCATCTTGCTTGATGGCCGGGGTCATCGGATATATTTTTTAAACTATATACCCCAAGGATGATTTAGGCCAAGTTTGGTTTAATTTGGCCCAGTAGTTTCAGAGGAGTAGATTTTTGTATACATAACAAAAATTTATGAAAAATTGTGAAAAATTGACTTTAAAGGGCCATAACTCTTTATGGAGTTAATTGACTATTTTGGTAATACATCCGATGACCCCGCCCATCAACCAAGATGGCTGCCATAGCTAAAAATAGAACATTGGGGGGGGGGGGGGGGGGGTTAAAATGCAGTTTTTGGCTTATATCTCTGAAACTAAAGTATTTAGTACAAATCTGACACGGGGGGAAAAATGTTCATCAGGTCAAGATCTATCTGGATGGAAATTTTCAGATGAATCAGACAACCCATTGTTGGGTTGCTGCCCCTGAATTGGTAATTTCCCCTCCTGAAAAAATGGTCCCACATTTCAGATTTTGCTTATCATCAACGTTATCTTAGATTCTGATGAATTAATTCATAAAATTCAAAGATATAGATAAAGATGGAAAAGGAATGAAGGCACTATGGCATTGACAAGAATCAGAATGCAATACAGGTTTTTTTTACAAGTTCCCCTCAAGAAATAATTGTCCCCATTTCAGATTTTCAGATTAATGAAATCACAAAGTATTAATGAGTGGATACCTTCATACAAAATTGAAAAGGAACTAACAACTAACGAAGGATCATGTCTGGCAACAACAAAGTGATAACAGACAGACTGATGGATGGGACAAAAACATTATACATTGTACATTTCAGTTGCATGGGGTATACAAATTATTATAAACTATTAATTAACATCCATTTCATGTAAAACAACCTGTCAGTTAGCTGGGTCACTATTTTGTCTTAACAGACACATTTTGATAAAAAAAAAAATTGTAAAAGAAAAACAACTACTCACTTTAACTGACATATTATTTAGTGTTTGTGGTGTCGGATTATTTAATCGTTTTTAAATAATGCAAACAAAAAAACCTGATACAAAGGTATTAGAAATTGTATTACCTATTTCCTTCATTTTTACATTTCACCTCAAATTTCATTTATCATTCTAACATGGTTTCCTTGTCATAGTTTATTATTATGATCAAGAACTCAATCAAAATTCAATGGTTTAATGAATTCTACTATAAACCTGTATATTTTATCAGATTCAATAGGACAATATTTCTATAGATGTAAAAGTCCAGCAATCTCATTTCTCAAATGCCAGTTTAATCTGTACAAAATAGACAAAACAAAAAATACCACTTTTTCCTTATAAAAATTAAAAAGTAAGAAGATACCAAAGGACAAAAAAATAAATAAATAAGGACAGATATAATACCATAACACCTCCCCCCCCCCCCCCCCCCAAAAAAAAAAGAGGAAAAAACATACAACAGTTGACAAATCACTACATCAAAAACTAAAGTTTCTTGTGTCTTTGGGTTGCTGTCTTTTTGACATTTTCTCATCTTATTTCATTCTTAAAGGCTAAGCATCAAGCACAGCACAAAAATATTAAATGCATTCAAGTAAAAGTATAATTCTAGGACCAGAATAATTAGGGGATGATGATGGATTTCAATTTGTTAATAATTGCCAATTTACTAGTTTTAATTAAACAGGTAGAAGTTCTCTTTATGGAAAATAACATGTATACTTTCTATAAGTTCTAACACAGCACATGCAAGTTCTATACCTTTAATATTATTTGTATGTTTCCCATCTTTAAACACTGGAACTATATTCAAAGTTTTACACTCCATTTTACATATATACACGTTTGAAAATACTTATAATACGTATCTTCAAAACATGTACACTACAAATATGCCTCAAGGATATGAATAATATCAAATTTTACCTCTATATTTCAATGTTCCGTAATTTCCTTTCCTCATTGTTTACATGTTATTTATAAAAATCTATATTTCTCTGTCGTGTATAAGATTTTAGTGTATTGTAGTATTAATTCAGTCAACCTGTTCTCTCTGATCTAATACATTGTAATACATACATTCAAATCATTTATGCAATAGAGTTACTACTGATGCATTGATAGTCTACAGCTTTTTATGAGTTAGATTTATTTTTATTTTTTAGCTCCTCAGAATTCCCTTTCTCTCAAACACTCAAACTTCATCGTTTTTTTTAAAAGAATAAGATATTTTAAATAGACATTTTGATTAAAAAATTCTGTAGGTTACATGTAGATCACAAACTTTAACAATGAGCCGTAAGAAACCAAAGCATATTAAAAACAATGTCTGGTAAGCATTATGCAATATAACATATACACATTTACATGTATTTCAAAAAACAAACATTATTAGTTCAGTTATGAAAATATGCTATAAAATATATTTTTCTAATTTCAACACTAAACTTGCACAAAGATGTAAAGATTTGCGACACACAAAAAATGTAGTAGATTTGGGGGGAAATCTATGATAGGTAGTACATGAGACAACAATCCCATATAATATTTGGAAATAACAAATATGTAAAAAAAAAACAAGTGATTTTATTGCTGTTCATCATTTTGATTTTACTGGATAGCCCTGTACTACATTTTGTATATTATTTCAATGCCTGGCAACTAATTTCACTGAATGAAATATAGGACAATACAGATTTTGTAGTAAACAAATTCAATTTCATACCCACTTCCTACTATTTTTTCCCTTAATTTCCTTCCTGAGTGATAGATAAAAATTTATATTTACAGTTAACAACAACATGTGGCGATGCAGCATTTTATTGCATGATTATGTCAACAGCAAATTGGAAAATCAGTCTTAAGGTCTTAATTTCCAGCAAAACTAGTTGAAATGGAACAAAACTGTTTATGAAAAACATATATGACAGTTTATGAAAAACAAATATGACAGACATGAACCAATGACAACCTATGAATTACAAGCTCCTGATTTGGGACAGACATATAAAGAGTATGGCAGGCCAAACATGATTGAGAGTGCTCAACCTATGTTTCATGTCCTGTGAACTGTGAAAATGCGGTCAAAATTCTTATTTGGCATAAAATTTAAAATATTTACATCGTAATGCATATTCGTACTAAGTTTCAAGATGATGTGACAACAACTTCATAAACAAGAGTGCACACACTGTAATGTCTCGGCTGTTTTACTCACCATTGAAAGTCTTATAAAAGATAAGGGTTTTACTACAAGTATCACATAAACTTAACATTTTTAAAGATCCATGACAATGAGGTCAAGGTCAGATAAAAACTGTCACACAGACATGTACACCTTACAATTATTCCATACACCAAATATAGTTGACCCATTGCTTATGGTAATTGAAAAACAGACAAAAACATAAAAACTTAATGTTGACCAATGAACCATGGAAATTAGGTCAAGGTCAGATGATACTGGCTAGGCAGACATGTACACCTTACAATCATCCCATACACCAATTATAGTTGACCTATTCTATTAGTATTTGAAAAACAGACCAAAACACAAAAACTTAACAATGAACCATGAAAATGAGGTCAAGGTCAGATGACACCAGCTAGACAGACATGTACACCTTACAATCATTCCATACACAAAATATAGTTGAGCTATTGCTTATAGAACTTGAAAAACAGACCAAAACACAAAAACTTAACATTGAGCAATGAACTATTAAAATGAGGTCAAGGTCAGATGACACCAGCTAGACAGACATGTACACCTTACAATCATTCCATACACAAAATATAGTTGACCTATAGCTTACAGTACTTGAAAAACAGACCAAAACACAAAAAATTAACAATGACCAATGAACCATTAAAATGAGGTCAAGGTCAGATGAAACCTGCCAGTCTGACATGTACCCCTTACAATCATTCCATACACCACATATAGTTGACCTGCTGCTTGTAGTATCTGAGAAACAGACCTAATGACGTAACTTTAACCTTGATCACTGATCCATGAATTGAGGACGAGGTCAGGTTAACCCTGTCTGATGGACATGTAGACATTGCAAGGAACCCATATACAAAATATTGTTATCCTATTACTAATAATAAGTGAGAAATTCACATGACAAAAAAGCTGTAATTTTTTTTGAAGCAGTCACTGAACCATGAAAATGAGGTCAAGGACAATGGGCATATGACAGATGGAAACTTCGTAACATAAGTTATCTGCATACAAGGTATGAAACATCCAAGTCTTCTACCTTCTGAAATATAAAGCTTTATACAAACAGTTTACGCCGCCGCCGCCAGATAGTAATACCTATGTCTCGCAAGGCGAGACAAAAACTACCTAAACCAAAACTTTAGCCTGAGAAAGTACTGATATAAAATTAACACTATCAAAATTCCATGTTCAGTGAACTAGCTGTAATTTGGTATAAAATCAAAAAAATTCACATCAGAATAAGCATGTGTACAGTGTTTGAAGTTAATGTACATTAACCCAAAAATTTAACATGATACAGGACGGGCAGACAGACTTAAAAAACATTATAATGCAGTATTGGTTTTTAATCATTTTTGAAGTCTAAACAGTGACCTTTAGCTGATTAATTCTACATCATTTGGTCTGTGGTGGAAAGATGTCTCATTGGCAATTTAACCACATCTTCTTATTTCTATATGACTTTATATATTGGTTGGAAAAATAAACGTACTATTATTGCTAATTTTACACCTGTATGAATGTGTTACAATTCATATTGACAGAAAACAATCTTTTTTTAGAATAAGTGATCTTAACCTTTGACCTGTTACTCCACAATCAAAAGGCTTCTTCTCCTTCCCTATATCTTCCATGTGTGTAAGTAGAATTCCAAGTATACAAGGGAAACCCAAGCTACTCATTTTTGTTCTTCAACTTTTAGTAACAGTGACCTTGAACTTTCCTACTGACACCAACAATCAATAGGTTTCTTCCCCTTATCTATATATTTTATCTGTATAAAACTATTCTTATCAAGCAAGAGAAACTCTAGTTACCATTCAGAAACTGTTTTTCCAAAAATTCTATTTCTATTAACAATGATTTGACCTATTGCCCCAAAATCATGAGTCTTCTTCCCCTTTACATCATCTACACTTTCATGTCTAGTGAACTGAGAAATCAAGCCAAAATAAAACCTAATTTAGCATGATTTTTCAAAGGTTCACATCATAATAAACATGTTTACTAATCAAAGAAGGGACATACACTCTATAATTTTAGAGAGTTATGTCAACCCCGGTACACGTACTGTTTTCTTGTTTCATTTAAATTTTAACATCTTGGCTTGATTAAGATTTTTTTACGCATAAATATGACGAGAAGAAATACAGAAATCAATTTTTCCAGTTAGTTACATAATTAAGTAAAATAACATGATATTGCCATCTCAAGATCAATAGACATAATTCTCTCTCCAAGAAGCATTGTCCAAGTTTTTGTAAAGATTTATAACATCTTTGTCAATTTAATCAACCACATTTAACATGTATATATGTCTTACCTGCATATTTATATATAAATTTTCTGTGGAATGCCTTACTTTTAATTAAGTGTTTACCAACATTTTTACAGTTTTTTCATCTAGCATCTTTACTCACCTGAATTGTACTGCATTCATTTGCGTGCAACTGCAGGTTACTTACTTGAATATTTGGGTTCCATTTCTTCCAAGTCTGCCCAGTTCCCTAGTGCCTCCATCCTGCCGTCTCCAATATCTAACAGTTCATCATCAGTACTGACTGTACTTGATCTTCCTTCTGTAGTCCCGTTAGCACCACTACGATATTTAGTATTCAAGTCCATGGTCACTTGATCTGCAAGTAGTAAATCTGTTTCTGCATACAACTCATCCATTTTTATTTTATCATTATCTTAAATGTCTGAAAAATAAAATGGTACATTTATTTAAAGGCAAAGAATTTATCAAACAAAATGATCCATAGCATGTTCAGGCATAGTAAATATTGTTATTTCCATATAATCAGAAGTAGAGGAAACAGATAAAGCCTTTTAATTACCTGTAAGATACAGACATTTTCACAAACACTGAAGCTTTAAACTGTAAGATACAGACATGTTCACAAACACTGAAGCCTCTAACTGTAAGATACAGACATTTTCACAAACACTGAAGCTTTAAACTGTAAGATACAGACATGATCACAAACACTGAAGCCTTAAACTGTAAGATACAGACATTTTCACAAACACTGAAGCCTTAAACAGTTTTTTGTAAGATTCAAACATGTTCGCAAACATTGTTATGTGGGTAAATGACTAACTGTTCAAGGATTTTAGGAACAGGTTCTACAGGTTCTTACAAATTCTAGCTAGATGAAAGGGTATTATTTTCCATCTAAGAAAGAAAGATATTGGGTTGAAAAATTAACATGACAGAAAAGTACCATCAAATACTCAGAAAATGACCCTTAAAAGAAAAAGTCCTTTTGTGGTTGTTATGTTACTGAACATGTCTGAATCAAAGCAACAGGGTTTATTCATAGTATATTAAATAATTCAATTCAAATATTGTGTTCTTGCTAAACATACAACTGTCTGTCCCTATTTCAGTTACCAGTACCGGTATAATATAATCTGGCATGAACACAGTTCCTCTCAGGTATGATAAGTTTTCATGTGTATTGGATCCATTATTTGATCACCTGTATTATTTATACATTATTACCTGTATCAAAAAATATAATTTGATATATTTGTCCACAATTACCAAGATTAACATACTTTAGCATAATGTCTATCTAAGGGGAATAACTCAAACAGTTTTATTTGCCAAGCTGTGAAATTCAGATTTTTACAGTTTAGCTGTTAACATATATATATATAACTATATCAACTTGGAAGAATTCAAATATATAAAGACCTTTCAAGAGGGTTTACATTCTTTGTACATATATCAAATAAAATGTTCTTGTTTCACACAAAAATAAAATTGATGTTGCAAGAAGTAACTCATTCATGCAGACTTTGAAACAATAAGCAGAATTATACATGTATTAATTTTGGTTCCAATTCAGTCCATGAATAACAATATTACATATAGTTTGATTTTTCTTGTTTCTCATTGGTTTATTTGGTCACATGTTTCCTAATATATATTTTGTATTTTTTCACTATTTTGCCATATTGACTTGACGTTACAATTTTTAAAATGATATTGACTCCATGTTACTAAAAATTGTAACATCGAGTCAATATAATTTTCAAACTCACACTATTTACATGTGTTATATATAAATTAAGGACTTTCACTCAGTCAATACGTTATATTTGAACCTTTGTCCTCTGTCAATATAATCGGAACAAGTCCATAATTGATAAACATAAACTATAAACATATGTTATTTGAAGAGTTTTTTTTTTAATTTCAAGTGTTTGATTAAGAAGGGAATAGCACCTTTTACTTATAGAAAAAAATTAATATTTTAAGAATGAACAAGATCTATTTTTAAGCTTGAACTCAATTTCCTAACTCAACTCTGACTATGAGTAAATATAGATTCCACCATTGCAACAAGTGTGTTACGATATTTCTCCACTCGAGACAGTTAAATTTTAATATTCAAAGCGCGAGGCTTGCCGAGCTCTTAAAATATTAAAATTTAACTGTTGAGAGTGGAGAAATATCTTAATACACGAGTTATAGTGGTGGAATCTGTTTCTCTAATGATTTTTATCCTTCCTTTTCAAAGATTTGCAGAAAGTTGTGTTCTTTATGTGTGACGTCATCAGGCATGGTCGCCTTTTATCATGACGTCACAATCAGGAATTCAGAAGAAATCAAGTAAATTTAACGTCATAATTAAATTTCGACCAATCATTTGCCGAGAACAGATATTTCACTAGTGAGGAGAACAATTTTTTCACAATCGATTGGGAAATGTGAAAAAAGTGACAAAATTAGAGAAATATGGATCTTTAAGTTAATTGAACCATACTCCCAAGTCACAAATCATTTTCAGAACCCCCTTCTTATTCTAAATCAGAAAGGAATCTAAGTAACAGTTTTGGAGCTGAAATGATAATAGATAACAAGAGATGGAATCGGGAAAGACAAGACAAGACTTATCATTTTTTAAAATGGTCATTCTTAATAAGAAAAAAAAGTGTTCAAACTATAAAATGTATGTGTTCAATATAATTTACCATGTATGAATCAATTCATATTTTTTTTGGTTGTGTAAACTAAACAATACCTGACAAATCTAAGTGTATATCCTACTTGTTACTTTACAAATATTCAGTTAGGGGACTTAATTAAACAAGTCAATTCTTAATCACTAAAGTGTCATTCATGTACATCCTAGAAATAGGCAGTTAATTGGCTTACCGGTACACAAAACAAGTCATTAAATTTTCCCTCAAAAATTAGTTAGGCAATGTTTTTGCTTTGCTTTATGTCAAAAATGACAAGCAAGGGAAAAAAGCTATTTCTGCAGCTTTCCACAATTTTTACCATTTTTAGATAAATTTAGGAGTCTTTGAAATGCTTGCAGAAAGTTTTGAGAATGTTATTAACTGCAACTGTGTGTAAATTAAGTGGTAGTATAAAAGACACTGTCTCAGTAAAATATACATAGTGCTAAAATCAATTGTATTTTACAATGTACAATGTGGTCTAATCCCTAATCTATATCACATCATAGCTGAAAATTGACCAAAATTCATACATTTTGAGAAAAAAGTCTTTTCCATGACGTCAAAACTACATATAATATGAGGTCATATATTTTAAACTATCTGTTTCTGATTATGTAATTAAAACCTCATGTTTGCGATAGACATAAACATGATATATGGAAATCTTGAATTAAAGTTCTTTCAGTGAAAAATTAGACAGAATACGGCTCTTATACCATCATGTCCTAATAATATAAAACACCTGTTCTGGTCAAAATTTTACTGATACAAGAGATATAAAAAGCAATCATGACTAATAAAAATTTATGTGTTCATATCAATTAAAAAACATCTTCTACAAATTGTACAACCTACATGTACACAAACAAATACACTATGCTAATTCAGTGTGGAAAGAAGACTGTATAACTGATTTTTATAGTTCGTTCTTATGTTGTACTGTTACACCACTGTCCCAGGTTAGGGGGAGGGTTGGGATCCCGCTTACATGTTTAACCCCCGCCACATTCTGTATGTATGTGCCTGTCCCAAGTCAGGAGCCTGTAATTCAGTGGTTGTCGTTTGTTTATGTGTTACATATTTGTTTTTCGTTCATTTTTTGTACATAAATAAGGCCGTTAGTTTTCTCGTTTGAATTGTTTTACATTGTCATTTCGGGCCTTTTTATCTGACTGTGCGGTATGGGCTTTGCTCATTGTTGAAGGCCGTACAGTGACCTATAGTTGTTAATTTCTGTGTCATTTGGTCTCTTGTGGAGAGTTGTCTCATTGGCAATCATACCACATCTTTTTTATATGTATTAACATGGACCATTTTGCAATCTCCATAAAATATGACTGTCTCTGTAAACTTCAAGATGAAGCAGGGTAACCCTTAATAACAGACGTAACAAAATCACTGAACAATATCATTTTTGTAAAAACCACTGGGTTTCCAATGTTTACTTTCAAATTTGTGATCAAATTCAAACTAAAGTGAACACTGCAAAGCAATTTCATGAATTATTGCCTATTTGATTATGAACCCTTGGTAATTCCAAAGCCAATAGGATGGACTATGTTGACAAAAATAGTCTTAGAAAATAAATTTCCTTGAATCAGTGTGTGGTACCAAAATAAAATATTGATGTGGCCAGGCAAACTAAATCTGAACCAGAGAGGGAAATATCGACTCAATGTCATTGAGAAGTCAACCCAACAACAGAAGGCCAACCTAAAGCACATTTTAGTATAAAAATTTATTTTAATATTCTAAACATGCTAAAGCTGTAATAGAAAAGCAAAGTGTTTTTCAAGAAAAACCAAACTGAAAATCAATACCAATATACATGATAATCCATTAAGCATCAATTTTCAGGGGCTAATCCTGATCAAGAGCATTATATATCATTTTTTCGATAAACTGGGGAAGTGGGGGGGAAGGGTTTGCCCTCTACACCCCTTCCCCCTGAATCAGCCAATGATTTTCATTGGCATAACAGTTACAAATTTCTGTCTCTAATATATACATTGTTTATGTATGCATTGTGTTTATGTGCAGTATAACAGGCTTTTAAACAGCTTTGAAGCTTTGATATATTTTGGGAACTGAAGCTGTCTTTTAAGTTGTTTTCTGGGAAAGGATTTTGCTGATTTTGTGTGCAATGTTTACATCAATATTGGATGAAGCAGAATCATTTGAATAAGCATTTACAAATTGAATTTCAAAAGTTGGCTTTTTTAACAAATCAGACATAGTTAAAACTGAATATAATGGAAAATCTATTCTACCTAAAATATGCATATTCAGGTAAGGGTATTCTCTATACATGTACCGGTAAATGACATCTATATACATGTACCGGTAAATGACATCTATATACATGTACCGAATTTGACATCTATTGAACAGTGTATCATGTGTATTTGCATTATACATGGGGAAAACAAAAAGACATTCAAAATGTAGACATATCTTCAGCACAGATCCAGAAAATAGTAAACAAAGCTTTCTTCCCAATTTATACTAAAGGTAGTTATATTCAGATCAATGACTATTGAAGAAAAAAAACATGCAAGTCTAAGTCATGGTTATTGTAACAGTTCAAGTAATTAATGAACGTTAACATCTCCTCTAAAAAATCTGTCAGAAAAAAACCCAGAAAAATCTCCCCATTTTCTGGATCCAGCAATTATGCTACTCATTAAATCTCTGTTTATATATTTGGCCAAGCTGTAACAACATTCAAATCTTACCTATAATAACATGCTTCTTCTACTACACCTCAGTACAGTATGTCAAATCAAAAGAAAAATATGTATATTTACATCTTTATTTTGCAATGGTAAACTAAAAAACATTTTGCACTATATGTACATATATTGGTAACAATATCTGTAGACATGTCAATTAATACCAATATTGGTAACAATATCTGTAGACATGTCAATTAATACCATCTTTATATTACCACCTTATTTATGTTTTGAGCTTGAAGTCGAAGATTTGAAGAAAAAAAATGTTTGTACACAAAAACTACAAATATATCTATTTACATGTATATGACTTCTAGGATAAAAATGTTTTAGTCTTCTAAGGAAGATATATGTTACTTATATATATGATTTATATAAGAAAAATGGGTATATCCATGTTTTGGAATGGAAAACCCAAAAAATCCCTCAAATCAAAAATTAAAATTGCAGGTGCACAACTTCATGTCCTGCATAAGAATACAAAGTATGTGCAAGTTTGGTAGAAATCTGTTATGCTGTTTTCAAGAAATTGTGGATTAACAAAGTGTGACACAGATAAGGAAGAAGACGAGGATAACATTGCTAGTTAACAGAAGTGATCTCTGTGTGTTATCCTATGCTGAACGCTGTGAGGTGACACAATAAACTAGAGGCTCTAAAGAGCTTTGTGCATTTTGAATCAAAAAAGGCCACTCACTAAAATTAAAGACAGGAGTATAGAATATAGAGTACAGACCCACAATGTTTAACTGATTTGTAGATTTTGTCTTGCTGATCATTTTTGCTACAAATGTATATAAAGTTTCACTCAATCTACTATAGATAATAGGCATAAATAAAAGAAAAAAAATCTTTTAAGGGCAATAACTGTTATAAGGAGTCGTCTGACAGTCATTGACAGGTTTGGTGTAAATGGACAGCAGGCAGATCTCAACATTCTGAAAATTTCTTCACATGTCAGACATATTTCAAGAAAACCTCCGAACTGTCTATTCTGACCTCCAAAATTTCACCAGGTCTGCCTTTTTCATATTTGAGATGGTCAGATTGTCAGACTGTTTCCTACAGACAAAAAGAGTCATTGTAGTTTGTTCCGTCAACTTGTTTCCTGTTTAATCTTTAGTTATTGTGGTCAGAAATCATAACTGTAGAACCAGTTGAGGTAATTTCAAGGGCAGCATGGCGGGTTACGTGAGCCTTTTGTCTTAGGCACAGAGACATCAAAAGATAGTGTTGCAAAGACGGGACATGAATAAGGCCAAGAAGAATCATGGGTTCATGAATTCCTGACCATTCACATAGACCCAAATCACTTGGTTTAACTTTTATAAAATAAGGTTAAAAATGTACCATATAAAAATACATGTTTTTTTACTAGAACTACAATTGTATACATAATTTGGGAGGTCTTCTTCACTTCAGAAGTTCAGTTTATGATGGTTTTTTAAGTGTGAACCATAAGGGTTAATTTACCTTTACAAAAATAGAGATATTATCAACGTTGTAGTAATATTTGAGTACAATGTCGATATACTATTATAGATGCATTTCAAATGTATCGTATAGTTAAAAATGACTCAGCGTCAGACAGTCAGGTGTTGAACAGAGCTGATGTTGTCAATTTGTAACATACAAACAAGGAAACAGGATATTTAATAAAAAAGACATGGTTTTATGCAATGCGAGCATTAAACCATTTATATATAAAATTACCTGTCATTAGATTTGATTAAGTTCTTTATACGTTGATGAAATATTATTTTGTTGCCAAAAAATAATCATTATAATTTCTAAACCGGAAGTTTGTTTCTAATATTTGATCGAAATCGGTCTAATATCCGGCTACAATACTTCAATCTTTTTAGCCATATTTTTATTGTCGGAATAGTACTGTAAACAAAAATATTCAAAATTTATGAATTTTGTTCTTACTCCTAATGTATTTTTTATAAATAATTCGCATTTAGTTTTTGTGATTATCACTTTTTTCTTAAGTTTTTTTTCAAGTTTATTAAATTCATCCAGAATTCCAGAAAAAATGACTCCGAGGCTGAAAAATGAACCATTCTTTCCCGGATCCCTAAAATGTAATCATTACTTCCCCAGTCCCAATAAGTGTTAATCCCATATTCCCGCGAAAAAAGTACAATCCCGAGTTCCCCCAAAAATAAAGGCAATTTATTAACATAAAGATGTTAATAAGAATGAGTCCCCGGTGTTTTCCTATAATATATCGATCTTAGCAATAATAGAAAATATACTGAATCGCTCAATATACTTGAATATTGTTGAAAACACATAATCAAATTAAGCAATTTGTCAAAATAAATTTGATATTACAGATTACCGGAACAAAACTCAAAGCAATTATATTATAAAACATAATAAACTTAAAGAATTCTCACACTGATTATACTGAAAGTAAGTTTATATAAAAAAGAAGATGTGGTATGATTGCCAATGAGACAACTCTCCACAAGAGACCAAATGACACAGAAATTAATAACTATAGGTCACCGTACGGCCTTCAACAATGAGCAAAGCCCATACCGCACAGTCAGCTATAAAAGGCCCCGAAATTAGCTTATTTTAAAAAATTGGTTATGAAATCACACATTTAAAACTTTAATATAGGTCACTGAGTATTTTTCAGTATAGTCTTTTAACATACAACTTTGTAAACAGTACATGTTTAACACAATGTAGTGTATTGCCCTGAATCATCAGATGTATCGTACAACGGCCTGCGAGAACAACACAATGTCGAGCACAATGTAGTGCAACGTCTTTGAACAAAAACTAAAGTGAAAGTAAAAATTATTTTATTTTTGTTGACGTGTTAGTCACAGAATCAATAATAAAGTATAATTATTGCACTCCTTATTAAGCATAATAAATGATAAACACTAGAATGGAAATACGTACCAAAAGGACAATTATTAAAAGAGCCTAAACGGAATAAAAGCTTTATAAATTTCGTGCGTCTTAAGCACTTTATGGATCTACCTTCACCATGCAGGAACGCTCGAAATTAAACATTCGAACGTCAGGGATGTGTAAATACGTTGACAAGTTTGGAATTTTATTACCAACGAGGAATATTAACAATTATCATAAAATAGAATAATAATAAAAGTATCAAAAATAATCCAATATGCAAGAATTCCAAAGAAATTTAAATACCTTAAAAACAATTAACACTATTTTACTGTATAGTTTTATCTTCAATATTGAGTGTTCCTGGGTCGGATTTAAATAGAGAACAACGGAAAAGGCAGAATAAAGGATAACAAAAAGAAAGAGAAAAATAGACAAAAAAATATAAATAAAAGAGAATAATGGGGTGTTGAAATATAAAGAATAGAAAATAATGGTCGAAATAAATAAAGAATAGAGAAAAATGGTCGAAATAAATAAAGAATAGAGAAAAATGGCCAAAAGGATTTAAGTAAAGGAACAAAGAAATGAAAACCCGCTTTTATGACGTTGCTTAATGAAATCTTCCCATAAGTACGAATACAGATATTCAGGTACAGTGTGGGCGGCATGATTTCATATATCAGCAAGTTTAGTAGTTTGAGCAATCTTTCAGTAACCACGAGCATTATTTGCTACATTATAGTATTGTTTTTCTTCTACTTCCTTTTTTTTCCTTTGTTTTTTTCAACGCTTGGAGGAAGCGGGAACATTTAGTTCTGATCCGTCTGTCCGTCCGTCCGTCAATCATTTTTAGTTTGCTGATAAAGAAATCAAGTACTTTATTGTATATTGTCACATATATAAGACGAAAATCCTTATTGATTTTTAGGTTACCGCGTGTAAGGTCAAGGTGAAAAATTACTATCACTGAAAAATAATCAATAAGGTTAGGTATCCCTGTGGAGAATCCTCAATATGAGATTTGTGATCTTTCTAGTCAAGCGGTAATAATTTTGGTTGTTAACAGAAGACTGACATAAGTTCAGAAAAGGAGTTTCCATTATCAACTTGCAAATTTGGTGACATATAATGAGATAAATTCCGATTGGTTCTGATGTCAATTAGTCATGGTCAAAGTAACTAAAATAATCCACAGTAAGCAAAGAAAAGGGTCCCCGATTATAACTTCAGCACCTTACATAGGATTAGAATCTACTTGGATATATTGTTACATAAACGGAGCTGAGGTTTGATTTGTTCAAAGGAGCAATGAATATACTGTATCCAAATTTACAAGCTCTCTACACAATATTAACGTAACAGTTAGAATAAGATTTGTAACAATATCAAAAATCAGATGTATGATTTTCAAAAAGACAACTACCCATCAAAGACCAATTATAAAAGGCCAGAATGTATACATAACTATATGTCATCGTACGACCTCAAAAAACAAACAAACCCCATACCGTATAGCAAGCCATAAAAAGCCCTTATAAAGAAATAACAAAAAACGATAGATACCCACCAACGACATCCACTGAATTACAGGCTCCAGATGAGGCGAGGTTATACAAGTCTGTGAGAGCTCAGTCCTCCCCTGACATGTGAAAGTGGTGTAACAGGAAGCCATAAGAACAAACTTTAAACTTTAAACAGTTTATAACCAAACTCAGTAAAGACCCGTCTAAATTGCATTTAATTGATAAATTCAACAACAATTACCGTTATCTTTTTTCTTTAAATAATCAAGAATTTTATAAATATACTGCCGAAATTTACCCAAAGGAACTTACTTTAAATAAATCAAATCATTGTACTAGTATAAACGGTAATAACTGTCCTTTCCTAGATTAAGATATTACAGGTTTACACGGGAAACTCTACACTGAAAATTTACGACAAAAGGGACGATTTTAATTTTGCTTTTTTGGACGGTGATGTGCGATTATGTACATCTTACGGTGTTTATATATCACAACTCGTCCGCTATGCCCTTGTCTGTTGTTACGTTTTGGATTTCAATCGGAACGTAATCTATGTATTACTAGTAAATTCAGGGATTTCGTTACCACAAATTACTTAAAACCTCTACTAAATTCGTCCATAGATATAAAGATTTGGTTTTGAAGTTTGGTTGTACCTGTAGAAAACTTATTTCAAACGGGATAGCATATCCTCATTTTTACGGAGATGTTGTTTACCGAGCCCGGAAATCCGGGTAAACTTATCCAGGGGCGTAGCTACCCGGAGGCACGACAGCACGTGCATCTACGTCGTTTTCACAAAAAAAAAAAAAAAAAAAAAAGAGAGAGAGAGAGAGAGAGAAGAAAGAGAGAGGGACAAAGTTAACATATAGGAATTGGTCTTTCTATGTATGCATTTTAAAAACTACACAAAGAATAAAAGCAAGAGAAATACACATGCAGCGGAATTTTTAATCCTGTAAGACATGTATGTGTACGATAAATACATACAACTGGTGTAAACTTAGAGGAACTTTTTATATTACAGGCATTGTTTAGAAAATACCAGCTACATAGTTATTGGTACCACAACCATACCGTATACTCACTTTGAGTGCAAAAAAAAACATAATCCCTTTAGGGTTAACAAAAAAACTTGAAAATTATTATTTTCCGCTTCGCCCCAAAGCACACATCTTACTAGAATGAAGACTCTTCAACTCGTATCGATCCGGGAATAATGACTTACCTTGTGAACTAGTTCAATATTGACTAAGTATGTAGGTCTTGACAACACGAATAGTTCATTCTCTAATTTTTTTGCTATTTTCACATTTCTTGACCGGTGTGAGAAAAATATTTCTCCTCACTAGTGAAAAATTTGTTCTCGGCAAATGATTGGTCGAAATTTAATTATGACGTCAAATTTTCTTGGTTTCTTCTGAATTTTCCTATTGTGACGTCATGAAAAAAGGCGACCATGCATGATGACGTCACATATAAAGAACACAACTTTCCGCAAATCTTTGAAAAGGGAGGATAAAAATCATTAGAGAAACAGATTCCACCACTATAACTCGTGTATTACGATATTTCTCCACTCTCAACAGTTAAATTTAAAGTATTTAAAAAGCTCGGCAAGCCTCGCGCTTTAAATATTGAAATTTAACAGTCTCGAGTGGAGAAATATCGTAACACACTTGTTGCAGTGGTGAAATCTATATTTTTCACATCACGTCAACGTATCTCGTCCTGTGTGCATGTTATATTTGCTACCGGACATTAATAACCATTCAATCAATCAATAGTTTCCGTAAACTAGTAGATGAGAAGTTGGAACTGCTGTTATTATAAAAAAAAGTACACATTTTCCAGTATACATGTTTTACGTTTTTATTTATTTTACAAAAAAAATCTTTTATATAGATTCGATAATTCGAAGTCGTTTCTATATGGACCGGCTATACGAATGGTTGATTGTAAAACCGTTTAAATAAATTGTTAATTCTAACTCGTTTTACTGGACTATTAGGTCATTCAATTTTAAAAAGACTAAAATATCAATCAGTACACATCCAACATCCAATGGATTTAGTGTAAAGACGTCATAAACAGTCAGAGAAAAACATGACATTGTGCAATGCCAGGATACAGGTATCGACAGATTGTAGAGCCATGGCATATGTATATACAAAAAATATTTAGTTTGATCTTAATTTAGTGATAACAAAATCAATATTAATACCATTAAAAACAATATTCAAAGATCTAATTACAGTGTTGAATTGAACCTTTTAGAATAAGTTTATTTAAAAGATCGATAACAGGGGCGTAGCTACCTTCTTAATGAAGTGGAATCACAAACTATAGGGCGAGGGGTCTCGAAGCCCCCCGGAAGCTCCGCGAATATA